ATATGTTGGTTGCTGAAAAGTGGAAACTTTTTTATATGGGACAAGAAGATTCAAAAAGAAGTATATGAAAGTTGCCCTCTCTTTTGTTCGGTTGGTAGCAGGGCTAAGATTTTTTTATTTCTGTAAGTGGTTTTTTGTAGATATAATTAATGGCTTGAAGAGGAATGAGTTTACTGCAATGGATAAAACTGATATCTCTGTATTCCTGGAGCGTGCCTTTGTTCGATTAGAAGCATGGTTCCAATGGTTCAATACAACTCAATCAGGTATACTCTATAATTCACGTGTGGTCTGATTGAGCGCCGGAATTAGATTGCTTCTTTCTGATTTCCCATCTTCTTTTATTGTTATCAGGGAATCGGATGAGCAGCTACTATTGGCATGGACGGGACAATAGGACCATATATCAGTTAAATCCCAAGGTTCTACATGCATTCTTTTCGCTCTACATGTCTACAATTTCAATCTGAACTATATAGCTACCTCAACAGACTAACTTGACCTAAACCAATGGGTATGTATGGTCACCACAAATCAGATTTATTGAAAGATTGCTTTTACATCAGGCCAAACCTACATAAGCATAAAGCTGTGAACACAGTTGTTGTAGATTTCTTCTCACTTTTTGCCTTTTTGACTATTGGTGGTCAATTTATTTGGTAGTACTAAAAGGATACTAAAACAGGACTTTTCTTTTTATCAAAATTAAACCAATGAGAAAGAGTTCCTCTTAACAATGCAACAGACTAAATCATAAAAAAAAAAAAAAATATTACCCATTTTTAATCCAAAACATTAAGACATTAAATTATGATTATTTCTTACATTCCTAATTTTCTTATTTCTATCTAAGACTTCAATCTCACGTTTAAATTATGAACGGTTGCTTCTGTTAACGAGGACACATGCACGTAACAAACATTATTTCTGGCATTTCCAGACACTGTCCTCTGGATTTGATGATTATCCACGTGCTTCACACCCAACAGCAGATGAACGCCATGTGGATCTTAGATGTTGGATATTACTTGCTGCAAACTGTTTGCATTCAATTGAAGAGTTGTTAGATAAGGAAACTAAACCTGGCAAGGTATAAATTTGAAAAATAAATTCAACAGTGTTGCAATAATGCATTTTCAATTTTAGATATCAAGTAGCGTAAATGTAGACTGCAGAAGGTTAAATCACCTGAAGTAATTCATATATTGAATGAATGATGCAGAATTATGGTTCCACTTCTAAATTGCTATCAGATGTCGAGTTACTGAACCAGGTATTTTACCTTTTCTCCCTCTCTCCCTTCCTTTAGAGTTGTTGCACTTCTTTGCTATTGTAGATGCAGTAGTGGAATATGAGCAAATAGAGTGAAGATAATGTGAATGAATCTCGTCTGAGTGGAGTCTTCATTTGGCCCTTCTTCAACCTCATAATTATAAAATTATTAGGGAATGTGACCTTCATAAGAACCCGTGCTGCATTTAGATGCATTAAACCTTCAACTATGAACACTGCATATACCTGGAATCTTTCGACATTCCATTTTAGCAGTTGATGTTTCCAACTGTGCTTCATGAATATATAACCTGGTAATTGATGAAGTTTGATTCATAGAAAATAATCTGATTTTTCTTTCCTTTTTGAACGTTTTTTTAGAAAATTGAAAGGGAAATACGCGGTTGATTTGCTTCAAATGTTTGGCTAGTGATACTAGAGTCAATTTGTTGCTACCATAATTCTGTCCATGCCTAATTTTATATTGATGACCATGCAGATGCATTTTGATGATGCATATGGTGCTTATTTTGATTTTGGGAATCATACAGAAAAGGTAAACTGTCTGGTAGATTGCGTTCAGTATTAGCATACATAACGTTGCAAGAATAATTATGCATGGTCCTTGTTCATGTAAGGAAAAATGAATAATTCTCCACTTGCATGACCTTAACCGTGCTAGGTTCAACTTAAATGGAAAGATGTGAAGATAGGACACAATCATGCTGATCGCCAACTTGTCAGGGATGTTCTAGAGAGGCCTGTGTTGAGATTGGTTCCTCACATTGGTTATGTTAGTCTATTCCCATTCATGGGGAAGATCATTTCATCTGTAAGTAATGCGCCTATCATCAATGTCATAATTATTTGTTGGGAATCAGACATGAAATCCTGAGTTGACATTATCTTGTATGATGAGAATTTACTCGTGTTAATTCTTTGGAAATACCCAACATTATATATGCCAATAACTATGAAGTTTTGCCCTGCTTGACTGACTTCACAACTAGATGCATATTTTATCATGACTATCTCATTCAGGGATCATGGATTCTGGAAAAGCAGCTTGAACTCATTTCAAATCACAGCCTCTTTTGGACTGACTATGGTCTACGATCGCTTGCCACGACAAGGTCTACAACCTATGCTCAAATGCATCTTTGATGGAATTAGTTGTGTGATCTTATTCAGCATATGTTGAAACTAATTGTTTTTCGCAGCTCCTTGTACATGAAATTCAACTCAGAGTCGGAGGGCCCATACTGGAGAGGTCAAATTTGGATAAACATGAATTACAGAATTCTTTCGGCGCTCCACCATTACTCTAAAGGTAATATGAAAGGAAAGGCAAAATATCTGCGAATATTTCACTTCATTCATACCTTTTTGTGAATGCTGTAGAGAATGGACCATATGAGGACAGAGCCAAAACGATCTACAAAGACTTGAGAAGCAATTTAATTAGGTATTGTTTGATTACGTTTGGTACCTTTGTAATCTTGTTTAAAGATATCAGTTGGTTTTTAAAACTAAGTTCCATATTACTGCAGAAATATAGTACGCAATTATCAAGAGACTGGATTTTTATGGGAACAGTATGATCAGAATAATGGTGAGGGGAAAGGATCGCATCCATTTACTGGCTGGACATCGCTTGTAGTATTAATCATGGCGGAAGAATATGACATGATTTAGGATAACTACATTATCCAATTCTCATAAGGCTATCATAATGCAACAAAGTATAATAAACCTCCACAAATTTGAAATTCCCTTGGTGGGTAACAAAATAATGTACCCACCTTATGGTTAGAACATGCATATCCTCTGGTCAGTAGTCATATTAAGCTCTAAATAGAGATCAACATAGCTTGGCAAATATTATTCTAGGTATATTTTATAGTATATATATTTGTAATACTTGTTCATATTCAAATTAAGAATGATATCAACAAATAATTCTCTAGAAGCTAAAAATTATTGTAATATATATATATATATATATATATATATATATATATATATAGAGAGAGAGAGAGAGAGAGAGAGAGAGAGAGAGAGGGGATGTAGTAGTATGCGAGTAGATATTTCAAAACAAAACACAAACAACACTCCCAAAATCTTCTTAAATTTAAGTTTTCCCCCCTAATTTTAAATTTGAGGAAACAAAATAACATTCCAGAAATCAGAAATCTTTTAAAAAAAACTCATAACTACCATGTAGGCCTTTGAGAAGAAGAAACTTAGGGAAAGAAAAATAAGAATAGATGAAGAATCATTTCATTCTTGTCCGAGTGACAAGACAGATACATGGAATCATATGAAAACAAATATAATAATTATGATATTATTTAACATGTCATGTCCATTAATACTGTTAGTTAACCTCATCCATCCAAAGGTTAATGCAAATAAATAAAAAATCTTATCTTGGAATAATACCAAACAAAAAATATTATATATTTTTAAGAAAAAAATGGTATTTAGCTTATATTAAACTATCTAACATATTTTAAAATTCTTAATCATATATTTTTTTACTATATTTTGAAATGATTTTTAAAATATTTATTTTTTAAAATGTAAAAATGTGTAATTTTAATTTTTTAATACATTTTGAATGATATTTTCTAAAAAATATAAGTATTTTAAATAATTATTTTTTCATCCCATTACAATGAGAGGTATGTACAAAAAGTAAGAGAATTTTTGTACCATTATAGTTTCTTCTGCACTCCATGATCAAATTAAATTCTTATTTTATTCTTACATATATTTTTATCTTCTTAAAGTGCTTATTTTTTATTTTTAAGTTTTTGGATGTCTTATTTTTAAATCCTTATAAATGATTCTCATTTTTTCTTTTCTTATGATTCTAAGAATTGGAAGAAACAATTAAGAATCTTCAACTGTTTTTACTTTATATCATTTTTTTTACCAGTAGTATAACGAGATTTTTGGCCGAAAAGAAGTTAGAGATTGAGAATATAGTTTCGAATATTAAAAATATATTTCGAATAAAATTTTTTGGAAACCAGAGTACATTTTTAGAGTTTTTCGGAAATGTATTATGAAACCCACTTTTTGGAATATGTCTCTTGATTTTTTTTTATTCAGAATATATATTTGGATTGACTTTTGTTTGAACGCAATCTAAAATATTTAATTTAAAATATATTTTTAAATTGATTTTTTCATAAATATATTCTAAATTAGATAATCTAGACCTTAATTTGATTTTTAAAAACTATTTTAGAGGGTCTTAATATATAATTTTAGTGTACAAACATAGATACATAATATTAATTATTACTTATATTTAAATGTTGAAAAAGAGAGTTGATAATATAAGAAATTAAATTTGCATGGTGCAAAACTTTCAATGAAAAATAGAAGAACGGGTCAGGATTTGAAACAAAAATTATTGAAAAAGTATTTTAATTATTTTATTTGGGGTCTGGAGTGTATGAATAAATTATGGAGGTGCCAAAAGTAGGTACAGGTACCAATCCAGGAAACAAGTTGAACTTGGCCAGACTAGACCGAATTTCAGCCCACTGATAAACTCCACGGCCATGTCACTCGTCTTCTTCCTTCCGAACTCCAGTTCGACCTTACACTGGCGAAATCCCCCTAGTCACACCGAAACGTATGCTACGCTAACACTCCCTCCATTTGAACTCCAAAACCCTATGCATGTGGTTGCCTGAATCACTGATCCACCGAAGATGACTGGAAGTGGAAGAACGACCGTTCGGAGCAGAGCAAAATCCCTCTCCGACGCCGACGCTTACGCCGATGCCAGTTCTCATCGAAAAAGGAGACCTCTGTTGAATCGACGCAGAGAGAGAAGCAAATACGGAAGCTCCATCCCGATATTCAACAGTACCAATCTCAAAATGGTGCTCGGTATCTGCTTCGTGGCATTCTTTATCATCTTCTTTATGATCCGCCACCTATTGAATTTCGCCACGGAACCGAAGCTTCCTCGTACCGTTACACCATTTCCCGCGCCAAAGATAATGGACCTTCCTCAGGTCAACTATCAACTTCACTGTTGTTTTTAATTTTCAATTTTGAGAATTTGAATGATTTTGGCGAATATGAAGAAAGAAAAATGACTTGGTTTTGCGGCAGTTTCAAGGCGAGCACAGGGAGAGTTTGTATTGGGGAACTTATCGGCCTAATACGTATCTCGGAATTCGAGCCAGGTATGACGTTAACTTCCTTCTAACACAATTCATGTGTACTTATTTTGGAATAACTATGTGTTTGAGGTGCGACCTTGAAACACAACTCATTACAAAGAAAATGGTGTGCCAATTTTTGGCTTAGATTGTATTCAGGATGTCAGTGTCTACAACATTTGATTTATAAAGCAAGCATTCTCTCTCAATTTCTTGATTTTTCTGGGTGGTTCGTGGTGTTGTTTCTATTTCAGGACTCCCAAATCTTTGATGGCTGGGTTAATGTGGATTGGTGTGAAGGATGGCAGATATCACTTGCGGCATGTATGCAGACATGAGGATGACCTAAATACTTATGGTTGGAGAAAGCACAATGGACGTGATTTTGGACATCAAGTACTGGTTGACCATGGCATGACCTTGACTACTGGGTTTTTAAAATCAAAAGAGGAAGGCAGTGGTTATGGAGGGGATTGGGCAGTTCGAATTAATGTGGAAATTGACAAGTGAGTGATGTTATCAACTTCAATTACTTTTCATATATGTACTCCAGAACAATTTTGTTTGTAGTTTTTCTTATTGCAATGTGGAATCTACCGGGTCTGTTGAGGTTAGAGATGCACTCGTGGCACCCTTGTTAATTTTAAGTTACTTTTACTTTTGGTTTGACTTATTTCCTGAATTAATTATAACACATAACCCAATAACCTAATAAGTAGTAACTTGGTTCGTAATTTTCTTGCTGAATTTCTTGCATCTCTTCTATTTCTCTATTTAGTGACTTTTGTCTATTGATTGCTTTTGTTCTCTTGGTTCAACTTTAGATCTAAGTGGAATGAGGAGTTTGGGAGAGGGGGTCAGCTCTTCTTCTATTTGGCTGATGAAGCTGGTAATGCTCTAGACCTAGGTGGAGAAAACTTGAACATTCATGAGGATTCTTTGCTTGCATCTGGCACTCGGGAAGATATTGGAGATTGGCAGCTACATTTAAAATCAATGGTAATGATAGGAATTGGTGGTGATTGTATTTCAATATTGCGTAACTTGTATTACCATTGGATACTTATGGTTGGCTGCTTGTGATTTACCTATGCTTCCTTAAAGAAGCACCCAAATTCCTGTTTCCTTCTTTCAAACTGTTTAAAAATATATTAACCTGTTATTTTTTAAATAAATGCTTTATAATTTTCAGGATGATTTGGAGCTGCATTATTCAGGATTTCGCACGCCTCACTATCACAATTTGTCTGATCTTGTAGAGGAAAGTCTTGCATCACAAGTAGGTTATGATATTTTAATTCAGTTTATTTGATGATATAATTTTCATGTAATACAAGAACGTGGTTATGATTTTGTTTTATTTTTGGTTTTCCCTTATATCTTTGCTTATGTACATGTTTTAGTAGATAAGAAAGCATGCTCGACTGCAGCTATCTGACTCATTAGATGATGCTCCTAATGTTTTAGTTTTTCAGGTAAATAGACCATGTACACTTTTGACTACCTGTTTAACATTTTTAAGGTTTAATTTATGAGTCTCTCTCTCCACACATAACATCTATAACTACCCTTGACAACATCTTTCCTTATGGTTTCACGTCATGATTATTTCTCATTTTTATATTTGTGCTTCAGATTATTGGTGGATTTCCTTTCACAACAGATATTGTATTCATCTCTGGAACTGATTTAGAAAGTTCTAGAGAAGAAGAGCGTGTCAGTATGCTTACAGGTTTTTCTACACTTTTTATAGTGTTTGTGCAAAATCTGGCATGTATATTTGTGTGCAATTCATGAAAAAGGAGAAAAATCTAGTTCTTTACATTGGAGTTGGTCATTACTTTGGAAACCTGCTTCTCATGTTGATTGACATTGTTGGGGCTGTTTATAGAATAGTGTGGCTAATTTGTATCATTAATGTAATGGCTGAAATTTGGAAGGCATGTCTACTTTGCTCTCAAAGGTTTTGGGTTTGTCTCATAGGCTGTTTTCTTATTTAAATGTTATATATTTTAAAGAGGACTAAGCTAGTCTCTACTAAATTTTTAGAATACTTTATTCTAATTTGCATTAGGATGCTACATCCTAGTGTGTAATTTCTTTGTTATTCTGCTCAATGTTAGGTACCTCACTTTCCAATCAACTGAAATATAAAGAACAGGAATTTGATGAAAAGTTTGAGAAAATTTTCAATTTGGCCGAGAAGGTACTAATTGTCTTTTCACTATTTTTTAATTACCCTCTCAAATTCAATTATTTAGTTCCCATTTGAAAGTTATTCTTCTATTTTTATCTTCTGAAGTGTTCTGAATCTCTCATATTTCATTTGATTGAGTATATTGGTTTAGAAGCTTATCCTTGATGGAAATAAATTATTTATCTTTGAAGTTGATTTCCAGGTGGATTCTGAATCCATATCTGTTGGTAAGGCGGCCATTGGAAACTTATTAGGTGGCATCGGCTACTTCTATGGCCAGTCAAAAATTGCTCTTTCAAATTTTTTTAATGTAAGTTACTTTAGCTTGATTTTAAGTCCTTAACTTCTTATTGAAGTGTATGCTATCCCTTAATATTGTGAGTTGGCATGTGATTATCATAAATGTGTAAGCTGTGTTTCATGTGTTTTATTTTCTGTGGTTTAAGAGGAAATTTTAGAGATAAGAGAAAAAGAAGTAGAAGAGCCAAGGGTTGCTAACCGAAGTAAAGGATTCTGGCTAAATTAAAAGATTCTTCATTGCATCTATAAATGAATTAATGCTTGCCAAAAGCCTAGACAGGCTAATTAGCTAACAAATCATGCTGTCGATCGTCAAAGATTTTACTTTGAAGCGGATCTTATCTGAACACTGTAAGTGTTGCTAAAAAGAGTGAAAACTAGTTTCTCGTAAAGCCAGCATTAAAGAAATTGTACTTGAAATTTCCGGCATGTCTCTAACCATAAGCACCTATTAACAGTATACATTGTATAAGTACTCTGCCAAGTTGCCTTATCCTTCTTATCCCATAAGTACTCTGCCATGTTGCCTTGTCTTTCTTATCCCATCTCCTAGAATGCTCAAATTGGATAAAATGTTCTACGTTCTTTGTACAAATTCATGATTCGCCATTAACACAAATATCTAACAGTTGGTTATGCCATACAATTGAAGAGGGATTTTAATCATGTGCATGAAGCCATGAAACTGCAACTTATCATCTATATTAATGGGTGAAACCTAAATTTAAGGGTTAATTCCAATGTTATTAATACTTATGGAAAATGAAAGAGGTTAACTTAGAGGCGATCTTAGACTTCAAATGGTAATAAAAAATATTTGTTTGAATAACTGGAGATTGAGTAAAGTGGAAGTATTATTTCAAGAGTAGGAATTTGAAGCATTAATCCTGTCACTATCGATGAATTTAGAGCTAGAAAACACTTAAACCAATAAAATTTTTTTAATCTGAAACTCCTGCAGAAGTAGTTGACTGGGATCACAATAGGAAAATGGTTTGTTTCATAAAATATTAGAAAGAAAAGAAATAGGAAATGGGTGATCCTGATAAGCAATCAAGTGCTTGGAGAACCCACCCTCAAAGGCTAGCTATTAAGGGGTGAACCGAACACTTAAATTGTCACCCAGCATCTCATATGATACTACTTGCTGTGGGACTTAAAGCACCCCATAATAACCAAGTCCCTATCAAATCATCTGACAGAATCCTTACTAAATCTGAAGTAAGAGCAATCTCCAAATCTTAAAAAAAACACAGAAATGAAAGTGTAACTATGTAACATAATATTAAAGGACTGGGGTGAGTTGCATTGACTTATGCCTCACATTCCCCATCCTGTTGAATACTATCTTTTGCTAGTGAATTGAGAATCTGATTCTAAAGGAAACAAGCCACTAAAATCATTTTTCAAGCGTAGGAAATATTCTTAAGCACAATCATTGCCTAGTGCAGAACCATGTTTTGTAAAATATCTTCCAAATTGGTTGTCATTCTCTGTTCATTATAAAGGTTTAATTAGATTGCATGTTGTGAATCATTTGTCTATCATTTTATGTTGGCAAATAAATCCAGTGCCGGTTTATAGGTTTGTATCAATTTTCCATTGTTTGCCTCATTTCATCATAAATTTCTCACCCTAACAGTGTAGCTTCGGTATTCTTTAACCAATTGTTGCCATTGACTTTCGTTTTCCTATTTACACTTTATGTTGCCATCTTTTTGTACTTCTAAATTAGCTGTCAGGAATTCAGAACTTAGATAGATATGTAATGGGTTGTTTTCTTTTGCAGCTTAGAGAACATGTCAATTATATATCTTATTGGCCTGCTGAGCTTTACACAGCTGTACCAAGTCGATCTTTCTTTCCAAGAGGATTTTTATGGGATGAAGGTTTTCATCAACTTATAATCTGGTTAGTTTTTTGTTCTAAAATTCTTCATGATCACCACCGTCACCATCATTAGTATTATTTTCTTGTTTGAAATTCTTAAGTGCTGATAGAGCTGTATTTTCTTGATTGTGCAAGAATTACCTGTATTAATTAAGAAACAAATTACCCGTGATTTATAAATATGCTTTCTTTTGCACTTGTTCACATTAACTAGGCGCTGGGATATTCATATCTCCTTGGATATCATTGGACATTGGTTAGATTTGATGAATGTTGATGGATGGATACCACGTGAGCAAATTCTGGGGGCTGAAGCACTGAGGTGTAGTAGTACTAAACATTTTGTTTAAATAATTGGACTATATCTAAAGTTTTTAGCAGTCTTGTTGACATACATTCTTCTGTACTTACAGTCGGGTCCCAGAGGAATTTGTTCCTCAGCATCCAACAAATGGAAATCCTCCAACTCTGTTTTTAGCATTAAATGGTATATGCTAATGTTCATTTTCTATTTCCCCTTGTTATATTATCCATCTTTTCTAGTTATGAGAATCCTTATTTCAAAAAAGGAAGTGTATAAATAGGTTGCCATTTTCAAGTTCAAGCAAGCCATAACTTGAGTCCAAGCTGCATTTGAAGCTTTCCCCTTTCCTTGATGATGACTATTAACAACTTTGACATTATGTATAATTGATCTGGATTTGATGGTACTTAGAGATGGTTCTGGGTAATAAATTTATGGAGATAGTTTGACAATTTAGATGAAGTACATATTATATCTATTATATATCGCTTTCGATCAAAAGCATGAGAAACATTCATCTGGTGATTATGAATTAGGTTAAAAATCATTTTTGTAGATATAATTAATGGCTTGAAGAATGATGAGTTTACTGCAATGGATAGAAGTGAAATCTCTCTTTTCCTGGAACGTGCCTTTGTTCGATTGGAAGCATGGTTCCATTGGTTCAATACAACTCAATCAGGTATAAGCTATAATGCATCTGCTGTCTGCTTGAGCAGTGAAAATAGGTTGGTTCTTTTTTACCTTTTCATTATATTCTCATCTCTTTTTAATACAGGGAAACAGATGAGCAGCTACTATTGGCATGGACGAGACAATAGGACAATGCGGGAAATAAATCCCAAGGTTCTTATAGGCATCCTCTGTATATTTAGTTTTTAATTTCAGCACTTGTCTACAATTTAGATCTGAACTAGTTTTGTAGCTCAGTAGATTAACTTGTCCAAAACAATTATTGTCATGGTTTAAAATGAGATCATGTTTAGGCAACCACAAATGTGATTCATTGATAAATAGCTATTACAACAAGCTAAAAACCTGCTTAAGCATAGTGCTGCAAACACAATTGGTCTAGAATTCTTGCCACTTTAGGCTAGAGGTGGTCCATTTCTTTGGTGGTACTAAAAGACTACAATAGGACACTTATTTCCTAAAATAAAATGAGTGTATTGTGGATGGCTTTATCTGTTGCAATTAGAAACTAGAAGTCATAAACCATGGACATAGGACGAGTTTGAAGCCAGAATTCTCACCTTTAGTTTGTTGTTCTTTTAACTATTGCATCCAATAATCACATTACACAGTTATCAGTATGTTTGTCAACTACGACAAAGCTTTCTTTATCCTTATTCCTTAATGATGACACCTACTCCTAACAACATTATCTCTGGAATTTTCAGACACTGTCCTCTGGATTGGATGATTATCCACGAGCTTCACACCCAAGTGAAGATGAACGCCACTTGGATCTTAGATGTTGGATGTTACTTGCAGCAGAGTGTATGCATTCCATTCAAGAATTGTTGGATATGGAAAGCAAACCTGGCATGGTATAATTTGAAAAATAAGTTCCATAGTATTGTAGTAATGCAGTGTACAAGTAGGGTAATTGTTGGCAGCAGGTTAATCCCCCTATTAATTGATGTATTGAATGAAACATTGCAGGATTATGGTTCTACTGCTAAATTGCTATTGAATTTTGAGTTACTGAACCAGGTATTGTACCTTTAAGGATAATAAAATTTGCTTTTTCCTTATTTAGAAGACTTCCACGCTCCCTTAGTTTTCTTTGTGCCTGATTTTTCATAGAAATTAGTCTTATCAGTGAGGAGGGTTCTCATCCAGGCCTTCTCCTAGCTCATTATTGTAGAATTATGAGGAATATGGAATCATTTTTGCAAGTTTTCTGTTGGCAATTGAAATTTCTGTGTTATGGTCCAAAGAAGATTCTGTGTGTTAATCATGGATAACATATGTAGTTTGACATGGAGAAAATAAACCAAGTTTCCTTTTCTTTTTAAAGTGAAAGCAAACTATACAATTTATTTAATTTTTGTTTGCTCGGTAACTCTATAGAGTCAATTCACTTTGTTGCTACTGTTTGCCTAATTTGTTCTTGATGTCCATACAGATGCATTTTGATGATGCATATGGTGCTTACTTTGATTTTGGAAATCATACCGAAAAGGTAGAGCATACAGTTATATATGTTTAGAATTATTATGCTTACTGTTGCCAGATTAGCGATAAATGGGTTCCCTATTCATGAATTCATGACTGAGTTAGAATTTCTTTACATACTTGACCATGACAGGTTCAACTTAGATGGAAAGAACTAGAGGCTGGAAACTATGCTACTCGACAACTTGTCCGGGATGTTACAGAGATACCTGTATTGAGATTGGTTCCTCACGTTGGTTATGTTAGTTTATTCCCATTCATGGGGAGGATCATTCCATCTGTAAGTAATGTGTATTAATTTCCAATCTCATGACTTTTTATGTTAAAAACTAATAATTAATTCCTTGTCTGTGATTTTATGCATATTATATATATTACTGTTTTCATTCAGGGATCATGGATACTGGAAAAGCAGCTTGAACTCATTTCAAATCGCAGCCTCTTATGGACCAACTATGGACTACGTTCTCTGGCCAAAACAAGGTCTACAGCCATTCTCTAATGCAATTTTAAAGGGTTAATGTGAGTGAAAATATGCAGCTATGTTGATTATCGTGAACCAAAAAAAATATTTCTTGTTACACAGTTCCTTGTACATGAAACACAACACAGAGCACGACCCTCCATACTGGAGAGGTCCAGTTTGGATAAACATGAATTACAGAATCCTTTCAGCGCTCCACCATTACTCCAAAGGTAATACGGATGGACTGGCCTAGGCAATTATTACACTATCTTCATACCTTCCTGAAAATAACCTTTAGGTTTAATATTTTGTAGAGAATGGACCATATCAGGAGAAAGCTAAAGCTGTCTACGAAGAATTGAGAAGCAATTTAATTAGGTATTGTTTGATTTTATTTGGTATCTTTGAAATCCCGTTTAAAGTTATTGGTGGGCTTTTTAAATAATATATTTCCTCCATACTGCAGAAATATAGTGCGCAATTATCAACAAAGTGGATTTTTGTGGGAACAATATGATCAGATTAAGGGTAAGGGAAAAGGGGCACATCCTTTTACTGGCTGGACATCGCTTGTATTATTAATCATGGCGGAAGCATATGGCAATATTTAGGATAGACATAGCTTGCTAAGAGGCTATATGCCACTTACATTCCTTGCTTCCTTCTCATCTTTCGTCCATAATTACCACCAAGGCAGTAAGTGACCTGCAACGTTGTAGTTTATATATATATATATAAAGATTTTGTAGAACATTTTTTTCTAAAGCCTATAGTTTAAACTGTCAAATTCTACATGATTTCATCAATTTAATATTTTGCTTTTAAGATTCACCATTTTGACATGCATGATCCACTATCCAATATCTTGTCATGTAAAATCTGTTATTTAAGTACTTTAAAATGGAAGACTTACTATCTTGGTATCTTGAGATACAAGACTCACAAGATTCAGTATATTGTGGAAAGTTGATTCAGTGTATGGTGGAAAGTTGAAGTTAACTATTCATAGATCTATAAATGGACTTTTGATATTTACGTAAGAGAACTCATGTTCTCTTTGTGAGTTAGGTCTCAACACATTATAGTTTGAACATTTAATTTAATTTTAATTTTAATTCTTAATTATAATTTTAAATTGAATTGGATTATCTATTGTTATTTTTTTTTCAAAACCATCTTAAAATAGTGTCTTTATTAATATATAATCATATCTTTTTCATTTTTCAATTTATCATTTTTATCTCTATTTTATAGTTGAATTATACATAATAATATTATTTGTAAATAATAATTTTCTTAAAAGTGATAAATAGTTTATCTTTTAACTTTTAAGAAAAATGAAAATAATATTCAACAAAATATTTAAAAATAAATTATAATTTATATCACTGTAAACCAATTTTTAAACTTTTTTTAATTTATTTTTTATCAGTTTATGCCGTGGTTTAATTCAATATTCATTTTATAATTCAAAAAGACTAAATCAAATCACCACAATTTTCTGCTATTTTTACACCTTTAATTTTACATCTTCCTATTATTGTATAAATACATATCACATTTAAATATCTAATTTACTTGTTGCATTTTTTTCCTTCATGGATAAATCCTATGATATATATAAACTCCCTAATCCTAACTTTCTATTTATATTTTATAACTAACTTACAAAATTAAGCACCACTAAGTTTTACTTGTACTTGTAACATAGTGTCTTGTTTATTTATTTTTATTATAAATGTTAACCTTCTTTTCTTAAATTTTATTTTTTGTTAAAAATAAAAACATGCTGTTTATATTGCTTAATATTTTTAAAATTTTATCCATAATGAGATTATATATATATTATGAAAGATATATAACGATCCAATTGATACGGTTAGTGGAACTTTAAAATAGATTCCGGATAACTAAAGACATATTTAAATATTGTTTTATGATTCTTTTAGTACTTGTTTATTTTGAATAAGAATTAATGTTTGAAGATTACGAAAATTTGAAATAGTTAAAAAAAATCTTCGTATTATTTAACTGAAATTTCATAAAATAATTATTTTTCTTCAATTTTTTGATAATAATATAATCTAAAAAGTATTTGAACATTATTTATTTTGTCTTTTTACTTTATTGTTATTATTTGTTGTTTTTTATTTTGTTATTCTTCAACTATAATTATAATGGTTAGTCTCGGGTATAATACAATATTTTTTAAAAATTGGTATAAACAAATTAATTGAAACATCAATATGTTTAATATCTTATATGATACGATGTAATATAACCCAATGCAACTATATTAGGTCAATTATTTACTAATCATTATTCTTACTTAGATTTTTAAACATGTAAGTTCAACTATTAGTAAAAAATATTTTGCAAGATCGATTATAAGAGAAAATAGGTTTATTAAACTTTCTTAGCATTTTCTTTTATGAATTTTCACAAAATATTATATGTATCTTTAAGTTGTCACCCAATTTTATAAAATGTAAATCGATTTTCAAATATATTATGGATTAGATATTCCGGAACTCACTTTTATTTTTTAAAAAATGTTCCGGATAAATAAATTTGGGTTCCTATATACAATTTTAGAAACATGTAATATATACCTAATATTAATAATTAACTACCTTAAGAGTTGAAAACGATGATGTAATAGTGTAAGTAATGTGGAACTCAATTTTCCAAACCATATTTGTGGGGCTTGTTTCCAATCTATATAAAGAGTATTTCACTTCCCAAACCATATTTGAAGAAGTTTTAGGCGTACCATTAGGAAGATTGATATAAACTTTCTTTATAAAAATTTTGTGAAGAAAAATATTTTTTACATCAATTATATAATAACTAAGATTGTGATACAACAAAAACAATAACAGTGGGTACAATGGTCATTGGAGCAAAAGTTTTATCTTAATTGAGGCTATATTTTTGTTTATTTTTTAGAACAATTAGTTGAATAAGGAAGACTTAGTACTTAGTGGTTTAATAAATGGAAGACAAGGGACTATATCCCACAAGAAGTTCAACTTTGGTAGTTTTTTTCCAACATTCATTCTCCATGATCTACTTATAAGAAGAAGGAAAAGTAACAAATGATATACTTACGATTATGATTCTACCAATTAAGCCATAAAAGATCACAATTAGGTTATAATATTATATCAATATCCAATAAATTATCTAGAGTGACTCCATAATTTTTTGTTGGTTGATTTTGAGGGACAATACTATTTTTTTTTTTTAGTTTAAGAGAGTTTTAACAACAGTTGACTTGAAAAAAAAGTTAGAAAATAATGGGAAAATAAAATTTAGAAAATAAAAAGTATCATGATATGTTGTAATAAAATATATTTTCTCTAGATATTATATTTCTATACACCTTTACTAAGATTAGGACCATAACATAAAAAAAAAACTTTTGATGAGGAAAGTATTCAAGACAATAGATTATGTAATGAGTCTGACACGTTCTTCTAGAGAAATATTAAAGTAATTAGGTAAGTGATCATATAATTTAGTAAATGGTGATTGATTATCTATTGAAGAAAAATACAATTAATTTATAAGATAATTTGTAATAGATAGACTTTCGTACCTAAATCGTAATAACATACGTGACTCTAATAAAATATTTTCAATAATATAAAGTAAATGATGATTTTGTTTTCATTTATCCCATTTTATTATGAGGTTAAAAGACACGATCGTTGAGATATAATCTCATTAGATTGCTAGAATGATTGAAATTATTTTGATGTGAATTCTTTTGTATTATCATAATGAAGAATCCTAATTTTGGATGAGAATTAAGTTTGAACCTAAGTATTAAAAATTTGAAAAGTGAAAATATTTCATAATCAAAGTATAAAAAATAATTTTGAATGAAACGACTATAATCATTGAAGAAAGTTACAAAATATTTGTAATGGACATGAGACATAGTTGGTGTTATTTCCTAAACATCATTATGAATTATGTCAAAAGTTTATGTTATCCATAGTTAATGTGTTGGAAAATATAAAATTTTATTTTTGGAAAGTAAAAAATACTTCATCTTTAGAGTGAAAAAAATAGTCCTAAATGGAATGATGAAAATTACAAAATATTTATAATGAATATAATATGTAGTTAGTGTTATTCCCTAAATATCATTATAGATGAAATCAAAAGACTGCGTTACTTGGATGTGTTGGAAAAAGTTGTGTCACTATTGATTATGTTTATTTATTACCAATTAAATTAAATTTTAGTATGACATGAAAAGTACATTTGAACTAGGGTGTTCAAGATATATACGCTACACTTAGAAATAAAAATAGCAAAATTACAAGAAACGTAGGATTGAGAGATAAAATAGTCCAAATTTAGGTTTTTCAGGATTATCTTCTAAAAATGATGATCTTACATAAAATAGTTATGAAAATTGTACTTTACAATTATTATAAACTAAATTTCCAACAAAAATAAAATTAATATTAAAACTAAGAGAAACAAAAATATTGTTAAGAGTTGAAGAAATATCATTCATTGCAGATAGGGAATTGATTTTTATCAATAATATGTATCTTGGCATAGAAAAATCTTTTAATGAGAAGAGTATCCAAGAAAAACAGATGCACAGAATTATGAAATGAATTAGGTACATTCTTATGAAGAAAGATCGAAATAATTGAATAACTTAATAAATAGTGATTAATTACCTAGTAAAAAGAATTTCACAATCAATTTGTAAGATAAAATATAGATGATAGAATTTTACACCAAAATCATAATAATACTTGTGACTAATAAAACGTACATCATTAAGCAAATGATAATTTTATGTTCAATTATCTCATTTTATCATGAGATTGGAGAGTATAATCCTATAGGATTACAAAAATTATTTACATAATTTTTATGAATATTCTCCTCCGTTATCAAAACAAAAAATCTTAATTTTAGATAAAAAATAAATTTGAACATAAACATTAAAATTTTGAAAAGTAAAAAAAATACTTTACCTAGATTGTAGAAAATAATCTTAAGAAAATTACAAAATATTTGTAATGAACATTTGTAAATTTTTCACTTATTTCTCCCATTTCCCCTTCTATGTAGTTTAATCAAAATAATTTTACTTTTCATTTTAATTCTCTTTCTTCCTTCGTTTTTTTTTCTTTTTTATTTCACTTATTTTCCAGCATCCATGTAAAATATCACTTATAAGCATTGGCTAAACTTTTTGTCCTAGTCCAGATCTATTATAAAGTTTTGGTTCTGGTTTTGAATTACCATATGCAAACTCTTTTCGCTATGAACGTTTGCGAAAAGAATAAAGTTGAATGCTGAAAATGGGATTAGGATACTGAAGGTACAGTTATGATGGCAATTCCTAAGACTATTTCTATACAAATTTGATATTGAAACAAGTAAAATATCCTTACAAGACTTGTTTATTAAGAATTATAGGATATAGCTAGACATAAAACTAGAATAAGCAATAACATCAACCCAGTCTGGGAAAAGATCCTTCAATCTCTTCACTGGATCAACCAACTTTTGGTCTAAAACTGCTACGTCCACTCTTAATGCTTCAGAGCTATTAGCCTGGCATCATCAAACAAAATAACAAGTCGTTGTTATATTAAAGTAAAGTTTAATACAGCATCGAATTTTACCTCTAACCAGAAGGTCCAATTAGCATCACTTGGTCCACTAAGACGACATATATATGACGGTGGACCGCCACCATATGTTTCAGTTCCTGTGCAAATGCAAATTACATTAGGCAATGAAAAGATATTATCTACCCTCTTAGAACTTTGGTTTGAACCTATTCCAAAAGCTAAATCACGAGATTAGTCTTGCCCTCCACTGGTATATGCTATTTTGGTCATATTACTGGTCAATGGAAGATTTTCAACCACTCAACAAGTAGACATTTCGAGTATAAAGTTTGTAATCTGACATCTATAATGTGGATGGTGTGATAACGACATGTTAATGGATGGGGCTTTGGTGGGACCAACAATAATTGTGATTTAGACCTAACTATGTGGAGGAAACAATTTTCATACCTGGAAGCAAATTATCTGCAAAAGACCAACTTGATAAAGGACCAGTGATGTTGAGAACCGCAACCCAGACCTCTTGCAAGGAACTAAAAGGAAAATAAATCCAGTTATATACGAAAACAAAGTCAGAAGGGATTTTGTTATTTAATTTTTCTTCAACTGTTTTAAGTGATGTAGGAAACAGATTTAAGGCCTTTTAAAACAAATAGCAGGTAAAAACAGTTAGACAAAATAAGTTTTTTTTTTATGGACAAAAATTCACATAATGTCTGCAAAAATAAAATAAAAAATGCTATTTGGATTCAAATATCAGAGCATATTTCCCTAGTAGTACATCGTCTAAGGAGTTTTGGAGCACCTGTGTTAGAATAAACCAAGTTGAAAAAATTATACCAGTAATCCAAATAACATCATGATTAGTATCCCTGAAATAATTCTCACGCATTGACTGTTATTGTACGATACCAACATGGAGAAAGTTTTAAAGCTACTAAATCAAGATTTCCACACTAGGCCACCACAAAGAAAAACATGAAATCATATAGAACATAAATTGTATTTTTTACTATGTCGATTAACCATGCTAGTAGCAAGCACCACGAACCACTCACCCTAAAGAAAGCTCCAAGTGAACTCTTCTTGGTCCTTTTTCAGAATTTAGTGATGGATTTTGAATAGACAATTCGGGAAAGTATTGATACTGTTTCAAAATGTCATCCTTTTTGGCAGGGAACTTCAGACTGTTTGAAAAGAGAAAAGAAACTGGAAAAATTGCCTGCAAAGAGATGAGATCAAAAGGCAGTGGAATATCGTAACATATACTACTGAAGAAGGTGTTCTTAAAAGTAATCTAACTTCTAACATCATCAACTGAAGATTTTGCAACTACTGAAGAATGTGACTCAACCATGAACTTCATTAATTAAAGAGATTAAGCATTCAAGTTTGTATCGTTTCACCCTTTCCCATTTTAATTGAGTTTAGACAACGCTTGTTAGAAAAACATTCAAATAATAATAATGGAAACCACTTACCATCCAATCATTGCCTTTAGACAATGATGCAGATTCAAATGAAAACTCTGAAGTAACATTCAATTCCTTTGCCACTTCTGGTGAGTGTTTGAAAAGGAAAAGTAAAGAATTGGAATCAGTTACAGAAAAATCATAAGTGGTTTCCATAATCTGACTTGAGCCTGCCAAACCACAGGAAAAATGTTAGTAATTAGATCAAAAAGAGAGAAAAATAACAGGATATTTGGGGTGCTACAATGATGATAGCAAAGAAAACAAATAATGAACTCATACAAACACATTTCAGAGGGTATCAAGAAAATTATAATCAATACCTGTTGTGTGGAAAGTCTGCTGAAATACAATCCTCTTAGGTGCAGACGGGGTGTAAGGAAAGAACTGAGATGTTAACGCTAAAGCAAACACACTAAGATGAAGCAGAAATTGCAAGATGGATGACCTGGCTAACCAATGCCCACATATGGGCATTAGAGGGCCTGCGCACCAACCAGTTACAATTCCAATTAATGCAGCCACAATTATATCAGGAACATAGTGCCCTGCAATAAAGGTTTTGTCAGCCAGAAGCAATTTTAGCATTGTGAAATTGCTTGTATTATATTAAGGTTTATCTTAATATTATTATTAATGATGAGTTTCAGAAAAGGAAACCTCGAGCAAGATAACCCATATATACACTTCATTTGATTTTAAACAAATATACTTATAAATGTACTTATTCAAAGGCAGTAGCATAAAGCTTAGTGATTCCATTGCAATGGTCTAGATACCATGCTATACTTTAAAAAGGGAAATTTATAATACATAATTTAAATAATGGGGTGTGTATATATGAACTAACCATATGGTAGCGGAAGAGAACCCATCATTCCCATCTTCTCTATCAGAAACTGGGCGAGAAAGCCACCAAAATAAACAGAATATGCAAGACATGGAACTAGAGGTAATATGTAAAACATTGTTGACCTGGAGAGCCATAAACAAAGCAAAAAAAAAAAAAAAAAAACAGGATTGCTGAGATGAATAATATATGCCAAAAGAAATAATATTAGATGATAGCATTCATCTATCAACGGTGAAGGCCCAAAATAAATCTATTGTAATGTGAAGGGAGCCAAATGAAATTAGTGGCTGTAAGACCAAAGATGAAGCAAAACACCAATTCATTTCTACAAAAATAGTACATGCAGTAATTACAATTACATAAGCATACACAACCAACCTGAGTGATCGTTGTCCAAAGAATTTGACTGACAGACAGAAGGACGTCCACGCAGGAAGCATGGAAGCGCACACAAAAAATGTCACAAAACCTCCACTCAGCCCAGATACAAGATAAGCCTGTTTTTACTAAACTTGTTTAGCCACAGAAAAATATTTAAGAGAATACATTAATTAAATCATGAAGAAAAAAAATCATATTGTCTGACTATTTATTAAACAAGCACACCATAGTTAATATGGCATAGAACCCAAATGCTCCCCAGAACCTTGCTTCATCAGATAGCGCCTGGCAATTTATGCGTAAGATAAAAGGGTTAGGCAATTCAAACTTGCACCAACAAGATAAATCAAAATCACTCATGAACAATATGTTCAAATTAAGAATACCACACACAATCATATTTATAAAGGTCACGCATGAAGCAAAACAAGACAAATAGATATGCTAATTCTATAGACACTATTGTTGGATCTTGGAAGCCTTTGTATTAGACAAAATATTTCATTCGATAAATAATAGAACCAAGAACAAAGTAGATGTTTGGCAATTTTTTTTTTATCATGAAAGCAAAAATTAATTTTAAAAAAATGGAGGTTTTAAGGTAACAGGTTTGACAAAATATAGTCAGATCTTGATTAAAAATAAATGCAATTACTTAGTGACAAATTTATCAATGATCATTCCATTTAAAAAAAAAAAAAAAACACTATGAAGACACGGATCACAATGGTCTTGTTGAACCCATTTCAATATGCCACAATACCTTTTTCGATGTTTTGACATTTGGAACGTCTTGAGAAAGTGGAAAGCATCTCCAGATAATTCTAGGAATTAAAAGCCCAATAAGTGCGCAGGGTATAAACATCAGGAAAGCCAAGTATGGATGAGCAAACCTGGGTTTCATCATTTTTGTTAACACATGATTGCAGAAAATGTATTAAGATTTTAAATTATTACACCTAAGATACTTCAATGGTGACAAAAAAGCCACTCCTATATCTTCAAATTTTACTTGACAATTATTAAATTCTTGGACCGGCTCCATCATACTTTGTTCTCTCACTGTCTAATTTGGTTAATGAAGAATTTCTGGCATTAACTACAAGAAACCGGAAGTTACACTAGACAATTCTGTCACTATCTATAAGAAGCCAAAAGTTAACTTTCAATGAACATACCAATTCATTGTCTGAGAAGAAAACAGTAATCTAAGGATAGAAAACACAACAGGAACAACAACTGCCAATATAATTCCAACTGCATGGAAAAAAAAGCCTGCAAATCCAACAAATTATAAGATGTTATCCAACAACAAATAATAATTTAATTATTCTACAATAACTAACTATTAGCACATATTTTATATACACATTTTATAGCTTTATACAGTGAATGCATTCTCCATATGTTTTATTTTAGTTTTTAACTCATTTCCTTTCAATGGTAATAAATTGGGTTAAATATACATATTTGTTTTAATTTTGTATTTTTAGCTCCTGCAACATTTCTCACTGTTTTGGCCATTACTTTTTCTATAGATATTATTTTTGGTTGATTCTAATTGCATTGGATTTTACATTTGTACGGCTTTGAAATGGATTTATGGTTTACTGAATTAGGAATTCTCTGATATTTTCTATGATTTTTAGAAGTTAAGACAAGTTTTTTGAAATTTTGTAAAACAATCCATACAAATTAGATTTTCTTTATTTTAACTTAACTTTTTTAATTGAGCTTATGGACCTAATTAAAGCCCACACTTAAGTTTGTGTTTGCATAAGATTTGACAGAATTTAAATAGCCTATATGTACTCTAAACTCATTTAAAGAAATCACTTTACAAAATTTTCAGTTGCGGAATAGTCTCTTTATTTTATTTTTTTTCTTAGGTTTGTGAATCTTCCTCTTCTTCTCTCTTCTTCTCTGAATTGGTTATGTATTTTTCATCTATGAAGAACTAAATCTTGATGAACAATTCACATAATCAAAATCAAACAAACCAAATTGAGTTTTGTACCAATCATTTATTACTCTGAGTTTGTTCGTCTCTTTTCTATTCTTGGTTTTGCAATTTGTGATTCTAATTTTAGGAATCAAGTGAATGTTGATTTGATAATTAAATACGGACTAGATTGAATAATATTTTGATTTAATTCATATAACTGATTTAGTTGATTAATTGAGTTGATTAATTGAGTCGATTAATTGTTCAAACTTATATCTAAATCTTTAGAGAACTATGCTTCTTAAATCTTTGGATTGATCTCTATTCCTACTCTTGATTTTGGTTTTGATTTGTGTTTTCAGTTTCAATTTGTATTTTACATTTTCTAAACCCTAAAACTCCAAATTTAACTTGTATAGAAAAAAAACTATAAATTAAATGCAATCAATATGTGTCCTTGAAAGATTTGATCCAGGTTTGTGCTTTACATTACAAAATCTTAGAGAAAACTAAGAATATTTAATTTCATGAATGACAATGAAAATCACTCACAAAAAAAAGTCATGGAATATTGAGGCCAAAATTTAAAGTGATTCACATGGAGACCAATTAGAAATATCTTAGTAAATGGCGGTGTAAGGATTTACCTTTTATGAAATCACACAAGGCTGCTGACCAAGAATGTGGCCTACGATGTGTAAAGGGAAAAATCAGGAAGAAGAAGATAGGAATACTATGAAGAACTTTAGCTACCCCTCTGGAATAAAATATCTGAAAATCCATAATTTAAGTGTAAGACAACAAAAAAATAAGAGGGCCCAATTCTGAAGATCATACTGCTATGAGTATCAAAAGGAGTATCAGATCAGTAGCAAAAGCAGGATTCTACCAACTTCAGTGCATACCATAAACCATGAAAAATAATCAAAGAATATAGCCCGCTCATCAACGAATGTAGTAGCAGTAACTTCACTATAATTTGTCTGATAGGTGTTCTGTAGCTTAGAAGAATTAGTAAATGTCTTGATTATGCTAAACAAATTTTCTCCACGTGCTTGAATGCTTCCAGGCCTGAGACAGAGTGATACTTTTAACACATTTTTCCAAGTAAAAATTTTCAATAAAATATCTTTTACCAAACCAAGTATGTAAGATACATACAATAGTCTCTCTACTGTATCAGAAGAGGTATGGTAAAAATATCCACCAAGGAGAAATATAATGTCAAGCCCAGGAATATTCCCATAGTCTTGGGAAAATATCCGATAATCGGTATCTCCGGGAATAACAGGAAAAACATCCTGTATGTTGAAACAGAAAATTCCTTTTTGAATTAGTAAATGCAAATCAATGGCCAACCAGCACAATTGAATATTAAATATATACGGAGGTTAGAAGAGAAGCAAAACCTGAGCTGCACTATTAGCCATAGGGTATATTGCTGCTTCTGCATAGACATTAGAAGGCCAAGAACTGGGTCCAGATTGGCAAACTAAATCTGTTAATTTTAGCAACATTATTCAGTGAAAATGTCCTGTATAGTACACATGATAAGTTGATCGACAGAGACACTGAAGATTAGCTTATTATCCTACTAATAATAATAGAAATTTTGCATGACATGTACCAGGCCCTCCAGACCCAGATGCCTCCACATTTATAAAAGCTCCTATTGTGTCATGCCATTTATGTGTCTTCATGAACCCATGTGAACCCTTAAGCATCAAAAGTAAAAAGCAATTCATTAGATTTTCATCATGGTAAAATCCAGTCATGAATAAGCATTATCTTCTATAGAAAACATCCTACCAACATAAAAAGTTCCTCAGCACCGTTAAAAAGGAAAAGAACCGGCCGATAGGGAACCCAACCAGAGTCGACTATTAGTCTTGCGATTTCCAGCATAGATGCTGAAAAGGGGGGAAATAAGATGAACAATAAGATTTAGAATGCTCAGAGTAAGGTATAGATTTCAAAAGCATAACCTCTTAAATTAAATGGTGACTTCAAATGTGGCCTAGCCACTACTCACCAACACATGAACCACAGTCACTAGCACCAGGGGAACCAAGGGGGCTATCAAAATGCCCATTCACTAAAACTGATGGATCAGTATCTTTAGAATCCACAGATGATATCCTGTAGTATATAAAACAGAATGCAGTCAATATTTCTTAAACTAAGACAGATATGTCAACCTTTTTTGTTATATGATGTAAATAAAATATATGAAGACACCAGGCACAATATGACTCGCTACAGTCTTGACTCGTGAGCCAAGATGTAAAATAATTAATCATTATATCCACATTTCAAAGATCTTTAGATTGAACACAATTGTCTACTGACACTGTCCTTGTAACCCCCCTTCTTCAACGATATTCTTAATTTATATTTATGTTCACTCCTACTCAAAGTTTAAGAAATGGTACATCACTTTTCCAGGGGACGTATGCCTGTCAGGAAAAGTATCATTTACAACACTTAAGAAAAAGCAAACAGACCGAGAGATTGCATCCAAACATCACTTATTTCAGGAACGGTAAAATACCGCCACAACATGTCCTTCATTCAAATTGTGCATTACATACATGACGTTCTATTTCTTTTCAATTTACCCTCTGAACATTGTTTATCTTTGAAACTATTAGGTATGATTTTTTCACTTCCTTAATTGTATGATTATCACAATGTCGTTGTAAGTTACTAGCACGTGACCCCATTGATAGAACTGGCTCAGACTAGACTATAGAAGCAAGCTTATCTAATACCTTTTTTCCCTTCTTTTCCCTTACTTCCCATACTCCTAGTCAGTGTGGGACATCTTAAAACTTATAATTTTTAATTATAATGTACTTTTTTCAACTGAAAAACTATATTATGGCAAAAGGATAATGTAAGGCCACATTGAATCCCACTTTAAAAACAAAAAACAAACTCTACTTTAACAGTTTCAGTGTTAACCAACTTTCAGGGATGTAATTTAAACAATGGGATAATTGCACTTTATCTCCCATGCAGTTCACCCTTTCAACTCTGTGTCAATTAATCCTCAACTTTATTCAGGATAAATGCCACTTATAAAACAAGCAGTGCATGTGAGCAAAACACAGTTTACCAAATATGATGTTCCTAATTATGTATTTTTCTTTGCAAGAAATTAACATCATTGCAGGGAGCTGGAAATATGGGGAAGGGTGAGGACCAAATGTAAGAGGGGAAACAGAATGATACTAATGCATCTTTGAACTTTCTGGAGGAATATGTATAAAAATCCTTAGAAAAGGTTAAAACTGGTGTTAGAGAAAACAGGGTAAGATAGCACTCGTTGTGATAAAAGTAATAAAACAATAACAGAAATATCATAATGGTTTAATAAGCCATAACCAGAAAAAAAATGAATCAATAAACTGCCAATTGTGAATAAACTGTTCTGCAATTGGCAAATTAGAATTATTAGCTATCGTGGCTGCTATGTGGCCTTAGACAATGATCAATAATCACTTAGAGGACTGCGTATCCTAGTGATAGACTGATAGTTATAAGCAAGTTAAAAATCCATGCTCCTTTACTCCTACATTTTATTGGAGATTGGAAACAGTCGAAATAACATTATTGCTTTCATGTTACTAAGTGGTATGTGAAACATTTGCTTACGAATTGCTGGAACATCTTTCCTTATCCCTTTCCAATTATGCAGCAATTCTTGCACAGTTCTGGCCACTCCAGCGTGCCCTTCTATTGTGGAGACTTATTTGCATGCATTGATCTTGACAAGGCATCCACACCTTTATTTTTTGTCTGGTTTATACTCAATTCAGTAGTTGACTCCTAGCAGTTGTATCACTTTGTTGGTCAGTTTGGAAACAAAGTGGTGAACTATCAACTATTAGTTGAATTTAGATAGTGATTTGCATCTTAGGTGGGAATATGTTCTTAAGTGGGCAATGGAAAAACATGAGGCTTGTTAAGTGAAGTTTACCCTTAAAACAAGGAAATTCAAATACGAAATGTTAAAATTGCTGGAACTTAGAAGTATAGGGGTAATCTATAGCGCAAGAATACCATTCATAAATCCCAATACACATCAGAATCCAATACAAATGACCATATTGAGCAGCTAATGTACCTCATGATAATATTAGTATGATTTCTGTATCCCAGAGCTATGTTGTGGCCTAAAAACAACATGTTGAAGGAACCACTTACAGTAGTTTCCTCAATCTCAATTCTGCGAGTAAAAAGTTGGAAATAAAATCAGAGTTCAAGAATGAAAAGAAGAAGCATACGTTACAAGTGTGTAATATATAAAACAAATAAGTGGGTCAAGATGGGAAAAGAGAAAAAAAAGTGTGTGACAAATAATAACAATAACAAAGTAATATTGCAACCTGACATTGGAGCTAGCTCGCTCCTTTAGTACTTCCAACTGACCCTTAATATATTCTGCTGCCTTTTTCAAACCAGGACGCCCTTCCTATTAATAAATGAACCAAAAGTCAACTTTCATACAATCATGTTAGATTGCTAGGAAAAAATGTTATCTTTTTGGTACAACAAATTTTACAATAAAAAAGAAGAAATATAAGATAAATTTAATGCTGTGTGAAAATTTTTCTACTCTTAACCAAATAGAATTAAAAGCCATGTTTATTATGATTCTGAAAATATTTATTACCAAGTTATAGTAGTTCGTATGAGCGAATAAATTTACACCGTGAGTGTGTTACGTGTCTTCTCAAAATAAAAATGTAGTTATATAAATTAAATTATACGAGTTACTGTACAAGTAGCAATTTTGAATTCCACTCATTCGAAAGCGATGAAAAAGTGAAGGATTCCATTCATTCGAAAGCGATTGCTATCTTGTCGCACATTTAAAGATCCCTAATTGTAAACAACACACTTAAAACGAAATAACGTTTCACGTTTCCCAGTTAAAAAAAAAGAGAGAGAGAGAGAAAACTAAATTTGGCTCACTTGACGACCGTCGATCTCTTGGGACAACATTCGAACATGTTGGATGGTTCTTCCCTCAGAGAATCGATCGAGCGGCGCGTCGTTCCCGAGAGGTTTGACGAACTTCATGTGGATGACGGAGTAGGTCAGCGCCGAAACGAGTCCGTACATGACCCCCAGAAGGAGCAATAATTTGAAAGCGGAGACATCCTCGGAAGACCCGAACGCCATTCCGACAGCGTTTCCTCGGAGGACGAATGAGGAGATGGAAGGTGGCTGTGTTTTCTTAGTTTGCTTTCTGTTCGTATGTGTTGAATTTAATTTTACTCAATTTATAATAACTTAAATAAAATTATCAAACAACTAAACGGTTTTTGTTTGCTTCAGTGTCCGCGTGACGTAAATTTTGAAGGCTATGACTAATGAGAGCGTGTAGGAGGAAACTAACAAATTTGGTTTTGGTTTTAACGATGGACTCACTATGATGGTAGTCGTTTGTGTTACGCCAGACTCCACGTATGGGCTTGAAATGATTGCATTTAAGGGTTTTGGGCTCACCCGGTACCAATTCAGATGTGGGTCACTGACACAGACACTGTCGATGAAAGAAAAAGTTACGTCACTTAAATACAAATTAAAATCACGTTGCAATTCACAGGATTCATCTAAATTTAGTATAAATTTTAAATAAATAATAATTTATAATATGTATTAATTAATATAAGCATTATAAATATTATATATTTATCATAATTATAATATATTTATTTTATATATAATATATATAAAAGAAATACAAAAATATAAATGTTTAGTTAAAAAATTATATTTTTATAATAAGATATAATACTTTCCATATATATTTTGTGTATAATTGTATAAAAAAATTTATACATAAGTTTTACTAATAAAACAATATTTATACATCAATGCTTATTAATATTTTAAATTTTAAATAAAAACCTTTAAAAATATAATTAAATTTTAATTTCATTTATGTAATTCAATTTAAATTTATTATTTAAAAAGGAAATATATTTTAATACGTTGAAAAACAATAAAAAGGAAAATTTTTTATATAAAAATAATTAAAAATTTTAAAAACTATAATAAAGTTTTTTAAGTTTTGTTTTTTCAATTTCTTTTAATTTGTTTATCTTATTAATAGAGTCTAAATATTTCTTCATTGATGAAATTTTTTTATTTTAGACGCTAATTTTAATTTTATATGGAAAAGATCGATATTTATTCTGTAATTAAAAATACTAATTAGGTAATTTTTGGTATCGCAGCAGCAGAATATTCATGTTTGAGACAAAAACCAAGAGGAGGTGAATTTGTTTCTTATAAAAACTTCTCCCTTTTAAAAAATTTCACAAGATTTTACCAATTAAACAACAACTATAAAGTAAAGAGATAAGGGAAAGAAGATTACACAATTAATTTATACTGGTTCGGATAAAAAAACCCTATGTCCAGTTGTTAATCACTCTAAAAAAGGATTAACTCGATCACTAAAATATTGTTTCAAACAAATAACAAATTACAAAAGATAAGTATAAGAAAATACCTCTCTTGAAGCACACAAGAGATGAACACTTCATTTGAATCCCACAAAGGATAAAGACAACTTTTCCTAGAGACGGCACAATACATAATCCACCAAGAAACTCATTTAGTGATTTTTATTGCTTCTAGCCCACACTATGTTACAAAAGCTCTTTTTTCTTCCCTACTCAAAGTACTCTCAGCAATCACAACTATAGACTTTAGTATGAAAAAGGTTGTACTTTACAGAGTGCTAGAGAGTTCCTTAAATAGAGATTTTAGGGTTTAGATTTAGGATTTTCGAAATTAGGTCTGAAATTTGAAATTAAAAATCATAACTGACACAAATAATTGATTATCATAAGTGATAATTGATTTTTCAAGAGCCAATTTCGCAGATTACACAACTTAGCCAGGATAATCGATTATAAACAGTGATAATCGATTATTCCAGATACTTTCAGAGACCCGGAAAGCTAAGATAATCGATTATCTAGTGATAATCGATTATCAATAATCAATTACTGGTAATCAATTATCCACTAGTGATAATCGATTATCATAGTGAGTTTTGGATAAAAACAAACTTTCAATGGACAGACTGTATGCTAACTATCTTGAACTCTATTTTTACAGACTCAAAATGATAAAACAAGGTTATTACAAGTAGATACAACTATATATATAAGTCTCCTAATCTTAAAGTCTTTTATCTCTAAAGTATCATCAAAATCTTCAGGCATCATATCCTCGTATTTTCAACAATTTCCCCCTTTTTTTATGATGATTAAAATCTGTTTTAAATCCCTTTGTAATAACCTATTTTTACTATCACAACTAACATAGAAAAGAGATTAAACATACTAAGCTTTAAATATTTTCTCCCCCTATTTTATCATAATAAAAAATATAAGCTTTCCCTCAACATGTGCATAAAAAGAATCAACTCCCCCTCAATATGTGCAAAAAATAGATATTTATTGAAGTTGAGCAAAACAATACAACATATAGAAAAGAAAAAGAATTTTTTTTTTCTAAGCCTAAAAAGAGAGAGAAAAAAGAACAAAAATGCTAAAATTCTTCGTTGTTCGAGTCACTATTAAATTTCATATTAAATCTGTCTTCCAGATTTGACATCCGTTCATTGACATTCGAAATATGATGGATAATTTCTTGATGTCGTTCAGCAGAGATGGAAAAGAAGTTTTGCATTCTTTGGTTCATGCTGACAAGCATATCCTCAATGGAGGAGCAGGGATCAGAATGAGCACCAGATGAAGTTCCGGTGATAGGAATATCAGCAACAGACATCTCTTCATCATCAGAATCTGCAACAACCTCAACAGCATGGGGTGCATCATCCTTATGAAAGTATGTTCCATTAACATTGACCATTTGCAGTTGAGATAACGTTCCATCAAGCATCTGATTTGAATTTAATGTTCGGGTTTGTTGTTCTCCTTCAACATTAACACCCTTGTATTCCAGAATCCTGGAGATAAGAAGAGCATAAGGAATCTTAAAGGTGGGATGTCTCTTGGCTTTGAGCATTGTCAAAGTAACAAGACTGGGTCAATCAATTGGCTCATTGTTCATGATTGCATAAATGATACAAAGATCAGCGGTAGAATACTGAGCATGATTAGTGGCTCGGGAATAGAGAATCCAGACAATGAGATGAAATAACATACGTTCCTCTTTCTTTAGAGTTCCTGCAAGAAGTTGTCTTCCGATCTCCATGGCAGAATTGTGGAGGAATGAGCGGTATGCCAGAATTCGGTTGAAATCATCAAGATCCATCAAGACATTGATGGCATCATCTCAAATGGGAAATTTTGCTACGTTTTCCCATATGTCATCATCAAGAATGATGGTGACCCATTTAACCCAAGAAGTTGCAACGTGATCTCTATACTTAAAGCGAGAGTAAAATACCCGTACTAAATCCGGATAATACGTAACCTGCATTTCAATAAAAGGAAGAACTCCTTGATTTTCAAGAAGATTTCAGAAGTTGAATCCCCGATCGATAAAGTTATCTCCATTCATAAATTTTGGAAAGATGATACCCCTCTCCTTCCAAAAATTAAGAAATTCTTGTCGGCCCTCATCATCAGATATCCACCCTTCAACAGAATTTTGGCGGGGATGAGAGGCAGGAGCAGATCTTCTTCTAGTCAGAATCTTTCTTTTGGAGGATGAAGTCATTTAGGGAAGAAGGAAAGATTGAGATTTGAGAGAAGTAAGAGTTTGAGAGAAACAAAAGCTAGAGACAAGAATGAGCTTGGAATCAATGTAAATCACTTAAAAGAAAAGCTTGGAGATGATTTTATGAGTTTCTAAGGCTTTCTATATATAGAAAACTTCTCCAACGGCTATAAACGGCTACATTCACGAGTTTCAAGACTAAGAGAGTCATTGCCGACAACTAGTTTATGCCCAATGACGCAAAATAATTGATTATCCACTTATGATAATCGATTATTTCTTTAACTACTACCCAGAAATATGCATGGATAATCGATTATCACCTGAGATAATCGATTATCTCAGAGAGTTTTTACTGTATTCGCACATTGAATTACTTACAGATAATCGATTATTATCCCAAATAATCGATTATTATCCCAAATAATCGATTATTATCCCAAATAATCGATTATTCCAGAAAGATTTTACATGTATCACACATTGAAGCAACAATAATCGATTATTAGCCCAAATAATCGATTATTCCGAAGAGACATGCAAAATTGAAGGCCAATGAGATACAGAATAATCGATTATTGCCTTGGATAATCAATTATTTCAGTAAGATATCATTTCCTGGAAAATTTTCAAAGATAAGATATTTCTAATATCCCTAAATATCTCCTAAGTTCATAAAATCTATCTTTGGGAAGAGGTTTAGTAAAAATATCTGTTAACACTATATTTTTGTTAATTTTAGACAGAAATCATATATAAAAATATTTTATATAATTGAGAAAAAAATATATATATGAACTAAAATAATCTTAAATTTATAACAAACAAAATAAAAAATAGTAAAAAACTTTTTCTTTGAAGAAAAAGTTTTTTTACTTTCATAAAATTTAGCCTAGGTGTCCAAATACCTTCATAAAATTTAGCCTAGGTGTCCAAATGTACACTAACATAAACCAAAATTTTTAGAAGACAATTTTCATGTAAAAAAATTATTCCCGTGAATAACCTGTCTTTATTACTTTTATAAATAAATCTTCAATATTATTTATATTATATATATATATATATATATAATTTTTAAACATTCATTATATAAACAAATTAAATATTTTTATGTATTTAAATATACTAAAAGAAACTTAAAACTTTATCAGACAATAAATTATAGAAAAAAAAACTCATCCCCCGATTAAATAAAAATAAAAATTTTCATTCTAATAAATTATTTTTAATTAAAAATAATTTTAGTAAAGGAAAATAATATTTTCTATGTTTTCATTAAATATTTTGGACAATATATACAATACATTTTATTTATATTTTTATTAAAAAATTAAAAAATAATCTCGCTCATAATAAAAAATATTTAACCCTTGCACTTTTTTTTATTATAATTAAAATATTACAATTATAATTGACTTCCTTGCCCTTTATTTTTATATCTACTATAAAAATTACATCTACTTTAGTATTAGACATGTTAACTAATTTTTTTTATGGAGTAGGAAATATAACTTTAAAATTAATCATTTATCACTCAATTTTTTCATTTTCTGCACTCAAATTTAAAGGTGGGTTAATTTCAATATTTATTGACTTGTAATGAATTTGTAATATTGAGAAAACACGATCAATAATGATATATAGTAAATAAATTTAAATATAATAAAAAGGATATTTTTTGATATAATAAAATTTATTTAAAAATATAATTTTAAATATAATAAGAAGGATATTTTTTTTATATAATAAAATTTATTTAAAAATATAATTTATATTGAATGTATCAAAGAATCTCCAATTATTATTGTTGATTAATCATTTACCTAAGAACAAATTAAAGAAACATACACTTATTATTGAACATAATACTCTCACAAAAAGATTAATGAATCAATTAAAATTTTAATGGAATAAATTTTACCTTTTCTTTTAAAAATTTAATACATGTTACAAATAAGTAGTTAATAAAGGAAAAATTGTGGGGTAAAAAAAGGATGTTATATTATTCGTACATAAGATGTTAAGAGACAATTTAAATGGAAAAAAAATTGAATATGAATATGATTGATGTTGTTAAGAGATGAACTAAAAATGACATTTAACATTTATAGATGATTCTTCCAAAAAATGTAAGGTTTCTACTTAAAGTATATACTCATCATCTTCTAATATAGAGATATCCATTGAAGTTAAACAATATGATACAACATTACAAATATCTCACCCTATAGAACAATAGACAACCAAAAGGAAAAAGCAAAAGAGAAATCAATGCAACCACTAGTTCCCATATTGATTTATTTGGCATAAAATGTACAATAAAGGAAAAAAAAACACAATTTAATGAATTGATCGAGTTAAAGTAAAAAAAAAAAAATGTTTGGAGTATGAAATCCTTATGAAGAACATATATAATATGTCTAAGAAGCAACATAAAGATCATAACAAATATTATGACTTATTAGGTAAAAACGAGGATTTTAAATATGATACTCATTATGAAATGTATTAGTCATTGTAAATCTACGTATAGTTATGTAATGTCTCATATATTCTTCTACTATTACAATATTATTTTCTAACTTCAAACATATCCATATAATGGATTTTGAAACCATTGTTTTAGACACATTATTGGATCAAGTTATAGATAATGACCTCAAAAACAACAATGATGAAGAATTCATGAAGTTAATATTTGAGTATCATTAACAAGTCAACAACATTGGTGGTGACAGAAAAAAAAAGTAGTTTATCGAAATTATGAAATAGGTCATCATCGATTGTTCAATGACCATTTTGTTGAAAATCATATATACACAAAATTTAAATCTCGAAGAAGGTTTCGTATGCGAATGAATGTCTTTGTATGAAGTGTGGAAGCCCCTAATAATTACAATGTTTAGTTCCCCCGTGCGGTTAGATGCAACACAAAAAAGAAATTTATCACCTTTTCAAAAATGCATTACCTCTCTTTGCATATTGACTTATGACTCATATGTTGATATTGTGGATGAATTCATTTGAATCGGTGAAAGAACTATAGTGGAATGCTTACAACAATGTGCATTGTGCAGTATTTGAAGATGAATATTTAAGAAAGTTTAATAATGAAGACATTGATTGACTACTACAAATTAGAGTGACATGTGACTTTCAAAGTAAGTTAAGATTAATTGATTGAATGCATTAAAAATAAAAAAATTGAAATGTCTATTTTTGAAGGTGATCACGATAACCTAATAATCATTCTCAAAACAATGATATCACAAGACTTGTAGATTTGATATGAATATTTTGGAACCACGTGATCAAATAATAATATTAATATATTAAATGAATCTAATGTATTTAATAAAATTAAGTCAAGTTTTGTACTTGCTATACATTACACTATAAATGAAATATAATATATGAACTATTGCTTAACATATAATATTTAAATATTTTTCCAAATTTTACCACATTTGTGAAACCTGTTTTAATGTCACAAGGAAAAAAATTATTTATTCAAAAATAAGAGCAAACAAAAAAGGATGTTGAACGTGAATTTAAAATTCTCTTATCTCAATTCGTAATCATAAAAGAATATAATTTATATATATTTCATATTATTTTTAATGACAAACGATATATTTATTAAAATTATATTGATTATGATATTAAAAAAAATGACATGTTGATAAATGATGTATTTTTATGTTCTTAAAATGGTAAAAAAATATTTTTATGCAACAAAATTGATGATGAATATATTATTTAAATTTTATGTATTTGAAATTATTATATTATAATATATAAATCTAAATAAAAAAATAATGAATTATTTAAATTTATTTATAAGTATTTAGTAAATGATGGGGGTATTGTAAGATTTTATTTTTCATATTTTTCATTAGAAAACTATGTGATGAATTGTTTTCAACCAACATCCTCTTGCTTATATAAATGATACGTTCCGAATGGTGGGTCCCCTTCCCTTATCATGTTTTATTTATTTTTATTTATTTTTTTGTCTCTAAGTGTCTCTAATAATTTTGGCACATTTTACAAGTGCTTACTTATAATAAATGGTGTGTTCAGAATGGTGGTCCACTTCCCTCATCATTTTTTTTTTGTCTCCGAGACTCTCTAATAATTTTAGCACATTTTACAAGTGCTGATCAAAGACACATGCTTCCCTTATTTATGACTTGATAAAGAAAAGTTCAAAACATTAATTCTTTAGTATCCGTACACTCGTTAAATATAAATTATTGATTAATATAATTAATAAATCATGTTTAGTGATAAAATAAAATCATTAGTTAAAGAAAGTAATTAAGGACCATAGTGAGATATACGAAAACAGTAGAAATTTAAGTAAAATACTTAAAAACAAAAATGATAAAAACTTAATGTACTAAAAAGGAAAATATCTATTTATTTAGTGTATGAAAAATGAAATTATGTCAAATGAAGAATTACCACGTCACTTTAATTATCTACGTATAAGTAGTTATGTACGTAATGAACAATATACTTATTAAATTAGTATAAATTATGTAAGTAGTTAACAACGCACTTAATGGACACGGTTGTATTATAATTCTTTATTTTATTATTAATATGAAAATTAGTTAAACCGATAATGGTGAAAGCATCTCAATAAAAGAAAAAAAAAACATTTTACCTTTTGTTTTTATCTCTTATTTCGAAATAATTTCTTATTGTCACATGACAGATACATAAAAAATGTTGGGTGAACCTAGAACAAAGGAGTAGTACTTTCATATTAGATTTGCTTGGGGAATTTGAGGGACCTTTGTATCTCATCAATGGCTGCTACGAGACCGGTGCAGTATTTGCTACGAAGGGTTTGCAGGGGAAGCAGGAGTTTTGGGGTTGCAACAGAAGTTAATACTTCTTCCTCTTCTTCTCAGAGAATCATCGACAAGGAATATGAACACAGTGCTCACAAGTACGCTTCTCTTTCTTTTTCATCTTTCAATCAACCCCACATGTTGCTATTCCCAAAAGACAAGATTTTGATTGTTGGGTTTGTCTTAGTTTTCTCGTCTTGACTCTAACTTCTAATATGGCGATGTTATCCCACTTGAATCAGGTTAAACATTCGTAGGTTGAGTGAATGATATAAGTTTTTGAATCATTCATAGGAATATGTTAATTGTATTATTAATAAAAAAAACATAAAACTAACCATGAGTGGTAAGCTGAAAGTGCGATCCAAAAACTTTACTTTATTGTGATCGTGTTGTTTAGTCTGTTTTTTCATTACCTAAGCATAAAAGTGTACCTGCACTGTACAACTTTGGCAATATAGCAGAGAATATGAATTTGTGTCTTTTTGAAAAAATTTTTGTGTCCGGGGTTTCCTTAAAACATTATCAATAAGTACACAGCCTCAGTTGATCCGTTCTGACCATTTTCACATATAGAAGGATGGTGGGGATTGCTATTTCTTGGCTGTCAGCTCAAATCTGGCTGATATTGAACACAGCTTTCTTTTGGGTGCTTGCATAGATGCCTTTTTGTCACAGTTCTCATATGTATAGATTGTTCATGGGTTTATTTAATTGATTTTGGTGAAATATTGAAATGATCTTTCCGGTTTCAAATGCAGTTATCATCCACTTCGGATTGTATTTTCTCGAGCAAAGGGAGCCTCTGTTTGGGATCCAGAGGGAAACAAATATCTTGATTTTCTAGCTGGTTATTCTGCTGTTAACCAGGTACATTTGTCGGCATGTTGGTAATTGCCAATGATCCAGATCGTATTTTTTCTTCAGAATGGTGCCGTTATGAATAATCATTCTTATATAATTTTTTTTTTCCTTTGTGGAGTGAGTCTAACTGACCAGATCTCTACTACTCTTGCTATTACTTTTTCTTTTGTTCTTCCGCTATTTTTCAGAAAACAACTGGTATAGATGTTCTAATAACCTAAGTGCTTTTTGTTTTTCCCTTAGGGGCACTGCCATCCTAAAATTCTGAAAGCGCTACAAGAACAGGCAGAAAGGCTGACCGTCAGCTCCCGAGCCTTCTATAATGATTGTTTTCCAGTCTTTGCAGAGTATGTGACAACCATGTTTGGTTATGATATGGTACTTCCTATGAATACTGGGGCTGAAGGTGTGGAAACAGCCATGAAATTAGCACGAAAGTGGGGTTATGAAAAGAAAAGAATTCCCAAAGATGAGGTATAAATGAGAATCATGCATGCTATTAGTTGTGATATCATGATATGTTACAATTTTACAAAATTTAGGGATCCAACTAAATCTTTAATTTGTATGGCCATCGGTAGTGATTCAATAATCATAATTATTTTTAATCTTAACTTGGACCAAAAGCATATAATTTACATGTCTGTGTACTGTAACAGTTTAGACATTTCCAAATGTATTTACCATACCATTTGAGGCCAAGTTATAGGTCTTGTATCTTAAAATAGATAAACAGAGTGGTTCAATTTATACCGCTTTGTTCGTAATATGGAAATACAATTATCTAAGAATACACATTGAATCTAGCATACTTGACAAATCTACTTACCTATATTTTTTTCCCCTCTGAGGAATACTTAAGCATCTGTTCATGTGAACTTTGACAACACTTAAAGGAACACATTTTGTGTATGAGAGGCATGGGGTTGCATATCCTTACAAGGTTTTTGCCAAACTAGGTGCATCTGAGATTTATAATTCTTTACAGCTAAACATATGGTATTCTTCCAGGACAAAGAGAAAATGTAGGAAGTTGATTACATCATCCACTTTTCTGTTTTATATGATATAGGAAGTTTAACAGTTAATGTTTATTTTTCTACTTTTGTTGTCTGGTCATTATGTCATTAATTTACTATTCAATTTGACAACCTAAAAGCAATTTTAGTTGAGCACAACCATCTGTCCTTTGTTGCTATGCTATTTTGATTGTACTTTTTATGAGAATCGGTTCAATTGTTTTATCATATGAATCTTTTTACTCATTGACATTTGTTTCAGGCTATTATTGTCTCATGCTGTGGCTGCTTCAATGGTCGTACACTGGGTGTCATATCTATGAGCTGTGATAATGAAGCTACCCGTGGTTTTGGTCCTTTATTACCTGGCCATCTTAAAGTTGATTTTGGTGATGCAGATGCCCTTGAAAGAATTTTTAAAGGTTCTGCATTGTGCTGTATACTCTTTCCTTCTCATCAGTAGTTTGCTTAATGACAGATATTTGAAGTATAATAATTGAATTTTTTCTATGAACTGCAGAAAAAGGAGAACGCATAGCTGCATTTATTTTAGAACCCATACAAGGTGAAGCTGGGGTAAGTTTTATGAAAGTGCATATCTATTGAGCTTGGCAACACTCTTGATGATTGAATTGAAATGCCAAGGAAGTTGCAATATATCCCTCTCTTTCTCTAATCTGTTTACTGATAAATAGAAGGTGCTTAAAATATTCACTTTTTTTTTATTACTTGGCTTGTGAAATGCACATTTATTACTTGTTCATTCATGTAGTTTCCTTGAAGAATGTAATTAGTAGGATTGATCTATAAGAGTCTTGACTAAATGATACAGTTAAAGGTGGAAAAACATGACAACCCTACCCAGTTAGGCTCTCCCTGTCTCTGCTCCACCAAAGAGAAGGCTGGCGGGCTAGCCCATTGGCCCATCAAATTTGAATTTTATATATACATATATATAATATAATATACTTAATTATGTGAATATTTTCTATGTCTTAGCATGTTAATTAAGGCCTTTAAGTAAATGAATTAAGAAGATTCCTATTTTTATATGCTAATTTTACTCAAATTACAATCAATAATTAAAATTTAATTTGTTAGTGTGCATGATTTAAATTCCAATCCTATTACATATTTGCATCTTTCAAGCAACAGATACAAAAATTGTAATCTTTAAATTATTATAGTTCTTATTATTTTAATTTTATTAAATCAATTTTAATATTTTACACATATAAAAAAATTTATCAATAGACTGGCTGCCAGCCCGCTCAGTGATTTATAGAAGAAGCTTATGGGAACTGACATTTTTTTTTATATCATCGGTGGTTTTGCTTTCTTTTTGGCTGTCCATATTAACTGCTGTTTTTTCTAACCTAATCTAATCTAATTTTTTTTTTATTTTTTCATTTTATTAGTCTGTCAACTAGTTTTATTCTCTCTCTCTCTCTCTCTCTCTCTCTCTCTCTCTCTCTCTCTATATATATATATATATATATATATATATATATATATATATATATATATATATATATATATATATATGGTGTGTAATGTTATGAAAAATATGTACTTAGAATTGCTTCAAATTCGTTGAAATTTATTTTTGATGGAAAACTTCTCTAATACCCCTCTCCTCCTGTAGAATGACAATAACATTGTCTAGACTTTTTTTATTATATTTTTTCTTCTCAAAGTTTATATTCTTTGCATTCTTATAATGTATGATATTTTGTTTTATAGGTAATAATTCCTCCTGTTGGCTATTTAAAAGCTGTTAGAGATCTTTGCTCCAAATATAACATCTTGATGATTGCTGATGAAATACAAACTGGGTTAGCAAGAACAGGGAAGATGCTGGCTTGTGAATGGGAAGAAGTTCGCCCAGATGTTGTGGTTAGTTAGAAATCAACTTTACTTTGTGTGTACTTTATATCTGTAGATTCATTCCAAAAACAAATGGTGTAAACACTATCTTGTTGTAGTAAGGTTAACAAAATCTATAGGCAACTCTTATTGCAAATTTCTCTATAACCCTTTAATAATTTGGGTACAGGAACTCCACCAATGGTTTCATTGCTGGTTCCAAGTCTGAGTAAAGGAAGAGGATTGTGTTAGGCCCTATACGACCAATGTAAATGATAAGGTTTAACATGATAATTGATGATTTTCTTGAATTAGAAACCATTTGTTTTATATTTTGAGTTTTGTTTAAGGTTCAATTATTAAATTCCATCACTTATACTATTGGACAGGGTTTAATTGCTTAAACAAGTGTGAAAGTTTGTGATGAAACAAGTGAATAAAGCAAGAAACAAAGAATAATTCTATTACTTGCCACTGCACACGAGTTTAATTTCTTAAACAAGTGTGAAGATCTGTGATGAAACAATATGAAGTACTGAACTCACCAGATTATTTGCATTCAAGTCATTTCCTTTCTTCCCTTATGTGCGGAGAGAATTAAGGAAACTATTATTCTGTAAACTGCCATTGATGAAATGCTTGATTGGGGGTGTGCAAAACCATATTAAGGAACTACATTGTATACTGAAGATGTTTCATCAAGGCACCTTGTGCATATAATTTCTGTAGAGATTGTTAAGGGAAAATTGAACTTAAAGGTTAGTGTTTACACATGCCTTGGAGATGTGCGGATTCTCTCGTCTTTGTTGTAGAGCCATCACCACCAGTTACACCAACAATCTTTAGTTCGATTTCATTCTAACATTAATGGTCACAACTTTGATAGAGACGACTTCTAATTTTGTCAAACATGAGAGATTTGATGGAGGAAACTTCTTTCAATGGCAAAAGAAAATGCACTTCCTTCTTACTACTTTGAAGGTTATGTATGTGTTGAATACTCTAAAACCACCAGATAGGGAAGAGGATATCATTGCTGAATCCTGTGAGAAAAACAAGTGAGAGAATGATGACTACATTTGCATGAGACACATTCTAAATGGGAGGAGCAGCACATTTACATTGACTCCATTGTTGAGTTGTCATGCCGAGACGCAACTTAAGGCTCAGTCAACAAGTTGAAATTCTTAGATTCCAACACCATTGATGTTCCAACCAACTTCATGCTTGAATCTGGGTTCAACAAAGAACTTTTATGATGGAAATCTGAATTTTGAAAATAAAAAGATATAACCAACATATATTTTATGAACATGTCTGAATTGTTAATAGAAATTGTCATTGCACTCTGCAAGTAAGAAGTCGGATTAGCTGCATTCAACCACCTTCCACTTGAAAGACTTGGCCACCCCATTTTATGTTTTCTTTCAAGAAAATGAGAAATATTTTGCCTTTGCTCCACAGTGTAAACTATTCTTTTAGTCACCTTTTCTGAGGTTTTATTTCCTTTTTATAGCACCATGCATAACTTCTTTTGGCTGTCCTTTTACTCAGGTACTCGGTAAAGCACTGGGTGGAGGAGTTATACCAGTTAGTGCAGTTCTTGCAGACAAAGATCTGATGCTTTGTATACAACCTGGACAGCATGGAAGGTTCATTTTAATATAAATTATTAATCTTTTTAATCTGCTCTTTTTCATAGCATTTCCTTGTCTATAGTTGTCAGTAACTTATGAAGTTATGCAGGGCATCTGTTTTCATCCTTGAAAGCCCTTTCATCAGTTAAATCATGAGAAGAGACGAAGCTGTCTCCTCTACAGGAACTTGCTATTAGCTAGTTCTTTTTGGGTTTTGGGATGCTAGTTCTGTTTAAGTTGATAAGGATCATAGGATAAAATTGGATTACTCCATCTGTTGAAGCTATCTGCGAACAAAACCATTTATATTTCTTAAAGACAAACAATTTGACTGAGACAAGAATTTATATCCGAGATATCCACCCTAGTCACATTACTAACTCTCCAATTGACTAACTATTACACTAAGCCTCTCTGCCTATTTATGTAGATTATATGTCACTTGACTCAAACTGAGTTACTCACTAACTGACCCTAACTACTGAACTAACTAACTATCCAAGGCACTTAACTATAGAAGGTGAAAAGTATGTAGTAGCATAAAAATGTTGTTCAACCAGGGTCCCATTGTATGAAACAATGATGTAATACCCAATTCACCAAAATACTCTTTTATTCCATAAAAATAGCAAAGTGACAAGTATCCAAGCACCTGGGAATTCACCCTTAAAATCTATTATTAAGAGGGAGAACAAGCACTTAAACGCTCCATAAAGAATCCCATATGAATCAATGTAAGACTTGGTGTTAGGAACAAAGAATTGAAGAGAGAAGGAAAACAAAGAACAAGAAATAGGAGAGAACTCTACTCTAAGGGTTTCCCTTCACAAAGAATCTCTCCTTTCACAAAGAGCTAATGCTCAATCTACAAAATGAACATCCTATCCTTCTTCGTCCATTTGTATCTAACTAACACCTCAAGTAACTGACTCATTCATTAATATTCTAATTATCTTAACTAACTTCTCCTTCTCCTTATACCTTAACAATACATCCTTTCTGAAATCAACCTTGTCCTCATGGTTAGAATAGTAGAAGCTTGATCCCTTGACTCATCCTCATCACCATGATCATCATTACTTTGATTTTCATCTGCCCTTCCTAAAAGCATTGTGACACTTTCCTACCGTAGGAATAGGAACCCACTGGGTACAACAAGCAAATTTAAGTCTAATGGCTTGGGTGGTTGTGGGGATGAGGGATTTTGTATAACAGCCTCTGAACCTTCCTTCGATCCTGGCTCCTTGCAATCTGTCATCCATATATTAAAATTCCGAAGTTCTATTGGCATTTATGTTCCCACACCCTTCATTATCAAATTTGGGTTTAACAATGATTTCTGGTTCATATTATTGAAATCTGAATTTGGGAAAACACTATGCTTGGTTGCATCTCCACATTCAACTTCCTTTTTGATTAACTTTACAATTGGGTTGTCAAGTTGTCATCCATATATGAAATGAAGTTTAATGTTAAAGGCTCACCCGGCAAGTTGAAATTCCAAAATTCCAATTCCATTTATGTTCCCCACCCCCCTTCATTATCAAATTTGGGTTCAACAATGAGTTTTGATTCATTTTATTGAAATCTGAATTTGGGAAAAAAAAACATTTCATATTTTTCTATTTAATATAATCAAATCATATCTTTAACATTGATGAACCAAAAGTACAATTTCCCTGGATATTCAAGATCTCCTTAGTCACAATACTAACCCTCCAATTGGCTCTCAACCCCTCTGTTTATGCATGTTGATCATTGGTGACTTCAGAAACTGAGTAACTCTAACTGATCAGGGACTAACTTACCAAGGCCCGCAACTAATAGATGTATCAATATTACCCCCTAAAGCACTTGGAAACCCACTTTCCAGGTTAACAAACTCATTCAGCAGCCCTCATTTTTCTATTTAAAATAAACTGAAGTTTGTCTTTAACAACTTTCAATTGCTATTTATTTTTAAAAGTTTTCCATCCTTTTGAGTACTCAGGATGATTTGCTTTCAGCTTTGCATTTATTTCTTCTGTTTTTAATTAGCCAAGTGATTATATGTGTATTTCTAATATATGAAATATATTTCATATAGGTATCTATTTATATTTTATTCATGTACTTATATACTCTATATATAGAATAAAATATGACAAAATATCAATTATTAACATATTTCAATCATAATTATCTAAGTCAAAATAAAATAATAACCTAATATATTTTTCTCTCATTCTAAACAATAATAAAAATATTTTAATACCTAATTTAAATAAAAGATAATAAAATAATATTCTCAACACCAACAATTTCATTTATTAAGATACAATTCAATGATATTAAAATATGAAAGCTATATGACTATTGATGCTGAAGCTTTCTTCTTCTGTTAATTTTTTACAGCACCTTTGGGGGAAATCCATTGGCCAGTGCAGTTGCGATTGCTTCACTAGAAGTGATAAAAAATGAAAGATTAGTTGAGAGGTATCAATTGCATTGCAAAATCATTAATTATCAGTATGTATTTGTTATAATACGGACTTGAATACAAGTCTTGGCAAGTATATTTTATTCATTTCATCCACCACTATCAATATGTGAAATAAAAGCTTCAATAGTCAACAGTAAAGCCTGGATTCTGGTAGATGAGTAACTGTATAAAATACAATCTTGTTCTTATGGTAAATTATTGATGATTGAGAAATTTTCTTCATGTTTCTTGTTCTTTTTAGAGATTGTTACATATAAATCCTAGTAATATTTAGAAGCTGAATAACTTTTCCATGTCTAAACTATCATTTTAGGTTGTCCTGTGTTGGTGACTTGTATTCATCCAATTTCTTGAATACTTGGACTTCCTACAGTAACTATTTTTGTTTCAGATCCTATTGCTGACCCTTCCCAAAAAAGTAACCACAACTCTTCAGACCTGGCTCATTTATTTGTATTTTCTAATATCGCCCCATTTATAAGTTTCAGACCATGTTTCAAGTTTCATGAGAATATGGTATTATAATGTATTTTTGAATCACATAAGCTACAGTTGAGTATGAAAAAGAATGGTCATTGAAGACACTATATGATGCAACAAGTTTTGGAGATCCTGCGGTAAAACTTATTTTCTAAGAAAATTTAGTGGCAAGAAAATAATAATTCTTTCTGAGTTCTTTAACTTTATACTCAGTCCCCTCAAGTTACAGAGCTTATGATCATCAAATTATGTGCTAAACTTTTTTATTTGGCTTTCATTTTTCATCATTGAATGTTTTTCTAGCTGTGTTGACCTGAATCAATTCAAACTTTTAAGTTTCCAAGTTTCAGTAAATGCTTTATTAATTTGGTTCTTTATTTTCTCTCTACCGTGAATTTCTCTCTAAGAAATTAATATATAAAATCTGAAATTGATGTTTTACTATTGAACAGATCTGTCCAAATGGGAAAGGAGCTCGTTAGTAAGCTTCTCGAGATTCAAGAGCAATACCCAAATTACGTGAAGGAGATACGAGGAAGAGGATTATTCATTGGAGTGGAGCTTAACAGCAAAAATCTTTTTCCTGTATCAGCATATGAGCTTACTGAAAAATTGAAGGAAAGAGGAATCCTTGCCAAGTCAACACATGATACAATTATCCGCTTTACTCCACCACTTTGCATTAGGTAAGTTATGAAAACTACAAGCAATGTCTTTTTAAGAAGTTATCATTGTAGTTTAACCAGTAGTTAAGTACTACCTGTTACAAACCCCAAACTCAAGACAACAGAATAACAAGAATTGAGAGAATAGGAATCTTGATCGAGGATGATAGGAAAAGAGTTTACAGAAGGAATTAACTTCTTCTGCCACAGAGCAATGCTCATATAGAGTGACAATAACACTCTGCTCATACAGAAACAATAATAACATATTTTCTACCCTTTACTCTCTCTGCCTCTCTGAACGTACTCCTAATTACATCCTTTGCCACATCATTTTTCTGTCCTTGCCACTGAATTAACACTGGATTCACGGAGTTCCCTGCTTTGTTGATCACCTTGTGAGCAAGGACCGTTTCTGGTACTATACTAATTGCATCATCACTGGCTAGTTTTGAAGGAAGAGATTTTTCCACATTATATTCCCCACAACTTTCTTTAACAAAGAAACAAGAAACAAGAACACAGGATGTATCTTTTAGTTCCTTCAGCAAGTTGCCACTTATATGTTACTAGTGCTACCTTGCCAACACTTTAAATGGACCATAATAACATGGAGCCAACTTAGCTTTGATACGAGCCCTAAAATTTCTTCATAGCCTTTCGATGTTGACAGTCCTATAGTAAAGTCAACTGAAATTTCTTCCCAAACCTGTTTGGAATATTTAACGGTAGTAACAATCCTTCAGGGGCAGCAACCAAATATTTGTCTTTGATAAGTGTCACACGTCATAAATTGTTGAACACTTCGTTTCATCCCAAACCAAAACAAATTCGTTGCTAACGACCTATTTGTCCGATGGTATCCCGAATGTCCTCCTTGGGATGTCTCATGAAATTCCTTGAGCTTCTTGGGTATCGAGGCAGAGGTTATGATAACACTAATCTATCCTCATATAACAATGTCCCGTATCGGTACTTAAAACTAGGTTTAGTATCCTTACCTGTCTTCTAGTCTGATACAATGGACAATAACTTATCATCTTTGTGGACTTCCTCCCTGACCTCACGAATACTTCCCAGCTAGGATAATGCAACGAGACATTTAATTCTAAATCCCCTTACATACGGGACAGTGCATCAACCCCTTTATTCTCCGATCTGGGCTTGTATTTAATGTCAAATTGGTAGCCCAAAAGTTTAGCAGCCCAATTTTGCTGGTCCATTATAGTCACCCTTTGTAAGAGTATCTGTTTCACACTTAATTTATCTGTACACACGGTAAATGTACTTCCCAACAGATATGGGAGCCCATGTTGTATGGCCACTGCCACTGCCATGTGTTCCTTCTCATAAGCTGACTTAGCAAGATTATGTTCCCCAAAAGTTTTGCTGAAATAAGCAATGGGTTTCTTCCCCTGAATAAGTATTACCCCCATTCCTTGACCAGTAGCATCGCTTTTAATTACAAAGGTTTGTGTACGATCAGGTAGAGCCAACACTAGTACAATAGTAAGCTGTCTTTTTAGCCAATCAAATGTTTCCTGTGTCTTTGCACTCCAATGAAAACCATCTTTCTTAGTCAATTCAGTCAACAGTTTTGCCATTTTCCCATAATCTTCGATAAATTTCCTGTAATACCCAGTTAATCCTAAGAGAACCCCCTTACTCCTCTAACATTCTGAGGTTTAGGCTAGTCACGCACACTCTGTATCTTGTTAGGATCCCCTGACACATCCTTGTAAGATATGATATGGCCTAAATACTCCATTTCACCTTGGCCAAAAACACATTTTGTTTTATTTGCCACCAAATTATGTTGCTGTAACAACTCTAACACTTCCTTCAAATGGGTTTTATGTTCTTCCCAACTAAGTACTGTACACTAGGATATCATCAAAGAATACAATTATCTTCTTTCACAACATAGGTTTGAAAATCTCATTCATAAGTGATGGAAAGTAACTAGAGCTTTTCATTAAACCAAATGACAGTACCAAACACTCATAATGAACTTCATGCGTGTAGAACACTGTTTGAACATTACTCTCCTTGACTCTCACTTGATCATAACCAAATTTGGGATCAATTTTTGAGAAATATTGATTACCATATAACTCATCTAATAATTAGTCAATCATAACATACGAATAGGTAATTTATCATGGACTGTCACCCTGTCAAAGCACGGTGATCCGCAGACATTTGCAAACTATCATCTTTTTTCTACTCCAAAGTCGCAGGACTGTAGAAAGCACTGTGACTTTCTCTAATGACTCCTGTGTGCAGTAATTCATGAACCTGCCTCTCAATCTCATTCTTTTGGTAATGTTGGTAACGATAAGGTTTGACATTAATAGGACATTGACCTTCAATCAGATTTATGGCATGTTATCTGCTCCTTTGAGGGGATAAACCATGAGGTTCCTTAAAAATAGCACAAAATTCTTCCAATATAGCTTGCAAATGGTGCTCTTGGTTTCATACAAAATTACTACCTTGTTCTCCGTGGGCTTTGTTTGACACCAACACCTCAGTAATCCATAATAATCCCCCTACTATACTCTTACAATGACCCAATAATGATTGTAGAGTCACCTAACCACTGTGTGTATTTCCTTCCGCATGAATGACAGTTCACTATTTGTTCATCTTAAATTTCATAATTTGTTTTCCCTAATAAATCAACATTAAAGGAGCTAACCGAGCAATTCCCAAGATCAAACCAATTCCTTCCAAATCAAGTATTACTACATCAACCGTGACATGCAAGGTTCCCACCTCCAATGCCACATCAGGACAAATACCTTGAGTCTATGCTTTATAATCGTCTCCCAACTTGATATTCATGGTCCTTGTTGTCTCTACCTTCATCCCATGGCTTGAACCAATTTTCTTGAGATAAAGTTGTGTCTGTCTCCATTAACCACCATCAACAAAATTGGCACACCATTGATAATGGTCCATACCTTTATGGTAAGTTATTTCACATTCTTGGTTGCCTTCATTGATCCTAAAAACATTATATTACACTCCCCTTCTTTTTTTGCTATGCTTCTCTTCAATCGTCCTTAGTTTTGTTTTACTCAATTTCTCTTCTCCCTCATTGACCAACATCACTTGCAAAAGATGATCTATGCATTAATGTAGGACAACCCCTTACGCTTATGTTTGTCTAGTTCTTGGTAAGAAAGATGACAAAGAGCCCAGTCTCTGTGATTCCAACGACATGATTCTTCCCAATTTCCGATCTTAAACCCACTACCTGGATTGCCTTCCCTCTTGGATGGTATTGGACCCAACTCACACCCTGGTCCACGACCCACAATTGGGTTAGAAGTGACCAAATTAAACTAGTTCATTTGGCTTACATCCATATTGATCTTCACCCCTTTTGAACGAAACCCAGAACAAGTCCCACTGCATTCTTGCAATCCCATCTCCATTGCACGTGCAAGGTTCATCATATTAAAACAAGAAAGGGTCCCTAAGGGTTGTATGCTTCGTACACGACCCTTAATTCCCTCTGAGACCATGAATGAAGTGACCAAAATACTGATCATCAGTTAGGCAAGGCACTTGAACAGTAAGAAGTTTAAATTCTCTAATATAATCATCAACACTATATTTTGTTGCATTGTGGCTGATCGTTCATAAAATCCTTCTTCACCCGTTCCTCCATGATGGTCAAGCAACTCTCCTTTGAACGTTAAACAATAATTTTCATTAATCAGTTACCTAAAATAATGGATGGTATCCCTCCATACACAATTGCACCAATTTACCTTTACATCAGCATGAATTCCCTGCACTTGGAAGTATAACTCCACAATAATCCGCAACTCTACCCTTTATATGGATTGTCGAAAATCATCCCATGGCTCACCTTGTAGACCTATCGATGCCTTAATTCTAGACCCCTCACCATTTGTCATCCCATTATTGTTAGACAGCAGTTCCACCAGCTTTTCATGGTGAGACCCAGCCTTCATTTGCATAGCAAGCTTGGCATTCTTGAGCTATGTTACCTCCGCTTCCAATGCTGCGACCTTAGCTTCCATCTTTCTTGGTGGCATCCACGAGTTTCCCTTCTAATGATTTGAGAGGTCGCACAAACTGTTACAAACCCAAAATTCCAAACAATTGAATAACAAGAATTGAGAGAAAAAGAATCTTGATCTTGGATGATGGAAAAAGATTTTACAGAAAGAACTAAATTCTTCTGCCATAGAGCAATGCTCCTATAGAATGACAATAACACTGTCCATAAAGAAGCAATAACAGCATATTTCCTACCTTTAAGCAGAACCAAGTTTGTGAGTTTTTTCTATCATCATTGTTTCAAGTTCCATGATTTCTTGATCATTATTGGTTTGTTGCAAAGTTGCAAAGTTGCAAATAAATCTATGTACTCCATTGACCATCTACCTCGCTTGCTGGCAAAATTAACCTTAGTATACTTTTTCAGAGGACACCAGAACTTTTGATGAGAATTTTTAAGGTTTTTGTGTATGTATATTTCTTGATATATGAAATATATTTCATATAGGCATATCTTTTATTCATGAATTCTATGTATATATAGAGTATGACAAAATATCAAATATTAACAATATTTCAATCATAACTGCTTAAATCAAAATAAATCTAATATTTTTTTCTTATTCTACATAAAAGATAATAAAGTAATATTCTAACAACTTTTTTTATAGCCTCTAGAAGGGTTGAAGTGAATTAGTATTTGAACATTTTTAAATTTCAAGCTAGTTAAAGATAAGGTTTTGCAATTACCAGAAGATTTCTTAAATGTTAAGTGGAAGTATATTACCAGTTCATTATGCTAATCATATAAACATGTTTTAAAAGAGAAAAAAATGAATGAAAAAATGAAGTTGACTTTTCCATAAGTTAAAATTAGTTTTATGTACATGGATAAAAAATGGATAAGCTATAAGGAGAAGACAATTTCATTTCATATTTTCTTTTTTTTTTCCCTCTGTAAGTTCTTATGGAAAAAGCTTGTTACCACCTTGCTTTTTAGGAATATTTTTAAAATCCTACACCTTTTGGGAATATTTAACAAATCCCAATTCATAAATATGCTCACTTTTAAATAAAATGAGAGTATATATGTGTATTTGAATGAAGTTCTTCGTAAAGACTTTACGACGGATAAAAGTCAGAAAAAAAAAACAAAATACTTTTTACATAAATTTAAATTTACTATTATACATGTTAAAAATAAAATTAAGAAAAGTTACATGTCAGAGCTTCTAAATATTAGTTTATGGAAAAATTAATTAGTTTAAGGAGAAACTCATCCAACATCCTAACTGTATATTGACTTTGGTTTACTGGGGAAATTTTAAGGCTGAAATATATGCTCATGATTTTGTCATATATCTTACTTTTACAACCTAAACCAATAGCAGCATATCCTGTTAGAATAAAATTAATAATTGGTTGAAGAATGTTTCTTTGGTGTTAAAACATTTC